TATGAGAGGCACTGGTAAAGTTATCGAAACCAAAAACTATTCTTAGACACCTGTTAAATAGCCGGACATACTTATCGAAATAGTAAGAACTGAGGGTGTGGACGTATGCGCTACTTGCATACTCCAATGACGACTGAATAACACTAAGGTAAAAGCTACGCCGTGCGTGGAATGGCAAGAGATGTCTTGACATGCGGTAGGCGCCGAGTTTCCTGTTGACAGACCCAATCAAACCGTCAATTTGTGGCCCAAAAGTCAGGTGCTCGTCAAGGACAATGCCAAGATGGCGTGCGGACTGCGCTCGAAGAACATGGACGCCGTCAATGACGACACTGGCGGAACCAGGCACTGCTGTTGTCTTTCTGTGAAGGAGGAGGAACTTCGTCTTTGCTGGGTTCAGCGTCATGCGCTTCTCTTCCAGGTAGACAGACAGCTTGGCCAGATCTCCGTTCAAAGCTCCGATGACTTCCTCAGCAGAGTCACCAGCTGCATACATATTCACATGTTGTTGTGTTGTTGTGTTTATTTCAATTCGCAAACCAAACGGGCAGATCTGCCCAATGACATCATCCGCAAACTGCAGAACTGTGGAACTGTTGACGCATGAGGGAAGACCACGGACATAGAGGCTGAATAGGATAGGTCCCAAACCAGACCACTGCGGAACACCCTGCGTACATGGCACGCGTGGCAGGCCCTCTGGTGCAATGAGCTGCTGCGTTCGATCACTCAGGTAGCTTTTAAACCATGCCAGAGCCGAGTCACCAATCCCACAATCAAATAACTCATTCAACAGCAACTGGTGATTGACGCTGTCAAACGCTTTCCTGACATCAGCGAGCACTACGCCAACAACCTTCCCATTATCCAAATCTTTCATCCAGCTATCAATTGCAACAGCCAGGGCCTCCTCACACGAGTGATATCGTCTGTATGCAAATTGCTGGGGTGGAATACTGTCGGGATTCTCTCTCAGAAGAAGGCTTAATTGGTTGTACACGTGCTTCTCGAGGACTTACTCTCTAGAAGCATGAAGTATCTCCCGCACATTTGCACAAACTGTTTCAGACCCCATTCGGACACACCTTCACTGCCCATCTGGTCTCCATCGCCAGACTTTGGCTATCTCGCAGCCTACGGTCACTGACGTTGTAAAGATCCTTCGTAATCTCAATGCACATAAAGCTCCCGGAGCAGACGGGTTGCCTCCGATCCTTTTCAAGAAATGTCATGAAGTGATGGCAGGTTCCCTGTGTGCTCTTCTCAGGGCATCTATTGAGGAGAGTAAGTTTCCTGCGCTTTTCAAGCATGCATCCGTGAGAGCACTTTTCAAGGGCGGGGACCGCTCTGAACCGCGAAACTACCGACCTGTTTCACTTTTACCGATCGCTAGCAAAGTCCTCGAGAAGCACGTGTACAACCAATTAAGCCTTCTTCTGAGAGAGAATCCCGACATTATTCCACCCCAGCAATTTGCATACAGACGATATCACTCGTGCGAGGAGGCCCTGGCTGTTGCAATTGATAGCTGGATGAAAGATTTGGATAATGGGAAGGTTGTTGGCGTAGTGCTCGCTGATGTCAGGAAAGCGTTTGACAGCGTCAATCACCAGTTGCTGTTGAATGAGTTATTTGATTGTGGGATTGGTGACTCGGCTCTGGCATGGTTTAAAAGCTACCTGAGTGATCGAACGCAGCAGCTCATTGCACCAGAGGGCCTGCCACGCGTGCCATGTACGCAGGGTGTTCCGCAGTGGTCTGGTTTGGGACCTATCCTATTCAGCCTCTATGTCCGTGGTCTTCCCTCATGCGTCAACAGTTCCACAGTTCTGCAGTTTGCGGATGATGTGAATATGTATGCAGCTGGTGACTCTGCTGAGGAAGTCATCGGAGCTTTGAACGGAGATCTGGCCAAGCTGTCTGTCTACCTGGAAGAGAAGCACATGACGCTGAACCCAGCAAAGACGAAGTTTCTCCTCCTTCACAGAAAGACAACAGCAGTGCCTGGTTCCGCCAGTGTCGTCATTGACGGCGTCCATGTTCTTCGAGCGCAGTCCGCACACTATCTTGGCATTGTCCTTGACGAGCACCTGACTTTTGGGCCACAAATTGACGGTTTGATTGGGTCTGTCAACAGGAAACTCGGCGCCTACCGCATGTCAAGACATCTCTTGCCATTCCACGCACGGCGTAGCTTTTACCTTAGTGTTATTCAGTCGTCATTGGAGTATGCAAGTAGCGCATACGTCCACACCCTCAGTTCTTACTATTTCGATAAGTATGTCCGGCTATTTAACAGGTGTCTAGGAATAGTTTTTGGTTTCGATAACTTTACCAGTGCCTCTCATATTCTTAGCCTATACAATCTCTCTCACATTTCTGTCCGAGTCAATTTGAAGCTTTTTTATTCTTGTATTTCGCTCTGTCCATAGCGGCACATGTAGCTCTCTCCTAAAAGAAATTTTCCATACCCGCTCCTCCAGTGCACATACTACTGCCGTCACTAGGTCCCAAATCTCTTTTTCTCTGGCCTTGCCTTCTGCCCACACTAAAGCTGGTTTTTCTCGTCTTGGCTACATAGGTTCTGATCGGTGGAATATGCTGCCTTCCACTGTTCGCTCTTGTACAGATTATCGCCCATTTGTTCGTTCATGCTTAACCTTTCTAGGGGCTCCCGTAAGAAGACCATAGGTCGTGGGAAACACCCTACAGCCTAGTAAAATAAATAAAATAATAATAATAATACAAATAATCTACGTGGAGATAAAAGTTTAATAATAGCAATGAAAAGTATGAATGCCGCAGACATCACCACGCAACATGACAATTTGTTCAAGGTTTGGTTTTGTGTGTTTCCAAAATCGATTTTCACGTTGCGATCATCAGTGGAAATACGCAACTAAAGAGATCAAGGGAAAAACAAAGGTTAAAAATCCAAAGAAGTGTGACACATGACGGGTAACTTGTGGTAAGTATTACAAAAATAATAATAATAATATTAACTGGTTTGAGGGAAAGAGACAAACGGGAAAAGTCTGAAGAAAAAATTGACTGTCACCACCAGGACTCGAACCAGGGACCCTCGCTTGTAGCCAGCGATGCTCTAACCACTGAGCTATGGTGTAGTCGTCATCCCAGCAGAGGCCGTTCAACATTTTCTTCAGACTTCGTAACTCACATTTCCTGTGAATCCACACAGGCCTGTGGGACGCAGCCCTCACTGTAACCCACACACTTCACGTACAAACTAGCACGCGGGGAGCCCCAATTATTAACTGGTTTGAGGGAAAGAGACAAACGGGAAAAGTAATAATAATAATAATCTTTTATTAACTGGTTTTGAGGGAAAGAGACAAACGGGAAAAGTCTGAAGAAAAAATTGACTGTCACCACCAGGACTCGAACCAGGGACCGGTGACCCTCGCTTGTAGCCAGCGATATAATCTTTTAAATAATTTTTAACTGTAGTCCATAACCATGACGACCACGGCGCAATACATGTATACAGTGAAAGAAGAGTCGGAATACGAATTGCAACAATCAGGACTAGCCAACAGAATGATGATTCTACACTGAAGACTTGCTACCACGAAACCTACGCACAACACTAACATTCTCACCGGCACTCTCACCATCACTACAATCGTCGCTCTCCGACACTTTGCTCCCTTCACCGTCCGTCCCATCATCCACTATAGCAAGGCTTCAGTGTACAATCATCTGTTGGCTAGTCCTGATTGTTGCAATTCGTATTCCGACTCTTTTAAATAATTCATAATCCTTTCGTCTGCCAGCTGACCCAGTGATCCGTACAGTTCCCCTTGCCGTGGCCCAATATAGTGGCTCCCCGGTCCCTCAAATCGAATCACGGGTGCGTTTTCGGATACGTGCCAATGCATGCCCCCATGCCATGACTCGAAAATGAAGCTGTTTTCGTCACCCTGCCGCTGCGCGCATGCGTCGTTTGCACATACATGCCGTTGGAGGCCTCACCAAGCGCTTTATACCACTCAAAGGGCAAGTTCGGTACGCGGTGGGGTAGGCCGCTGCTTTGAGCCACCTGCAGAAATTTGAGGTAAACGCCGTGCTTGGCGTCTCCAACAGCAAGCTAGCAAGCGCCCTGGCTCTGTTTCCGGAGGACAGGAGGTTATCGGTGCAGCACAGCCATGCCAGCAGGCGAATGGTTTTTCTGGGGCACAGGGTGAACAAGGACAAACAAGGGCGTGCCATTTTGCGCTCAAAATGCTGCCCACAATCCACTGACATCGATATCTAGGCGAGCGTGGTCGTCAGTTGTCCTTCAAACAAAGAAAACTGCATAATAGTACGGATAACTTTCAATTCAACTGCAAAGGTATTCACTGATAAGTCTGATATTCCTTGTTTTCCTCATTGATTTGCTCACTTCCAGTTGTCCTATTCGTCGTGTTACTTCTCATTCTCTTCTCACTGCTTGTACAGTATTCTCATATTCCCATCCTAACTGTACAGAATGGAGACCCCCTCGATAGGCCTAAACGGCCTCTGGGGAAACCTTTAGATACTATTATACAAAGTGGGTTGCAGCCAGGGCATCGCACAGGAAGTGACAAAATGGGCACGACGTCCTGGTTGAAACTCTCTACACTTGTAGGTCGCGCTTTTCCCAGAGTTCCAGCCGACTTGACTGTGAATTAATAGTTATGGTGAAAAAGGAGAAGGGCAAAATGTTACGAGTTTATAGGACTATGAGTTGGATTATATTATTGTTGTTGTTGAATTTTATTTAAAGTCGCAACACAAACAGGCATAATCATCGCATTCTAGCTAACCTGACTCTGTCCTCGTGCTAGTGCTAAATGAAAGCGTGGGTACCCCCGGGTGTGGATGCAAACAGTGATCCGGTCCATCGGCGTGACGTAATTTAGCGACCAAAAGCGGGTGCGATGCAACTGTTTTTAGCTTTGTGTGTAGAGGCTGACCAACAACGAAAGCTTTTGTCATCTTGCCGTTCATTTCTCCGTAGCTGTTTCTACATGTAGTTCTCAAATTCAGTTGGTGGCTTGTTGTGAGCAGTTTGAGCCGCCTGCATGACTATCAATTCTGTAGCAAGGTGATTGCACTATCCACTGGCCGGACCGTTTCAGTCTGCTTTTCCCGGTCGGCGTTCATTCCGTGTAATGTCGCTAAACTAGCTTTCGCTGAGGCTGACCCACAGTTTCAAAGATTGACGTGGCAGCAGATATCTCGAATCGACATTCGAGGCACCGGTTGGTTTCCGTCGAGTCAAGGCACAACTGCAAGGTTAGGATATTGTAGGCTATTATTTTCCGAAGCCAACTTGTGCAAGTGTGTAGGGTGCTGTCGCGTGTTGAAAATGTAGAGCGTGGTAGATCTACGCATCATGCACCGACGCTTTGATAGAATTTTTACACATTTATAGACAATAGCTGATGGTGTTTTTCTGACGACAGCCGACCTTGTGAAGTTCCACCATGTTTGAACCCGTTGGGCGATAGCAGAAGTGATGCTCTCTGCTGCAGTGTTGTGCAAAGCTGTTTTGCCGACTTTTGTCTGTTCCCGTTTGAAACTAGCCACAGAAGTCTGATGTACGTTGCTGTAGGTGCATAATGGTGGTACTCTACTATTAGAGAGGTTGTGCATAACGAAAATTCGTAACTTAGACGTAGTCTGGGCACGAGTAACGAAAAAGGAAAGGAACTTTCGCAAGGAGGGCCGCGAAACTTGAAGATCTTGCGTTTTGAACTTTCGCTACTTTTTCTCGCAAGCTTCTGTATACATGTACATGTAGCTGTGTTGATGCACGTGGTGTGAAGATTTTTTTCGCCATGGCCTTTTCAAGTCGTTCTGCGAGTTCTTCCTACTCGGCATCCTGTGGAGCTGATGGATCTCTTTCCCGCTCTCTCAGCGATCCTCTGTCACCTGGACAGCGCTCGGCCGTCAGGCGAAATAGCACGTCATAGTACATTTGAGATCAGCGGGAAGAAGATGACGACGTCCACTAATTTAGTATCTGTGCACACGAATCTGCTGTGTGTGTGACTCTGTGTGTCAGCTATGATATCATCTTCTGTGGTTCCATGCCTAGCATGTACGTTTGAACCATCCTGCAAAGTTTGAATGATGTAGGTTGAGCGATCGCTCCGCGAAACATACTTTTTGAAATTCTCTTCATAGTATATCTTCCACCATTGAAATTTCGAATTTCTTCAAAAAAAGTGCTGAGAGGGGTGGCTTGCAACCTCGATATGGCTTGTTCCAGGCATGCTTTGGAGCCATCTTCTCGGTTGAAGTAGTGGCGGGGATCTGCCCTGCAACTGCTACAACAAAAAATGATTCGATCTGAGAAAGGGTGAGACCGCGAATCTCGGTTGAATATTGAGTATTTCAAGCCTTTTCACGACGAAGATGGAGTTCTTTTTGGAGATGGACAAAGGACATGGTGTCCGACTTCTGGCGTCTGGTGAAGCCAGGGATCATTTGTCTAGTCAGGTCGGCAGCCTAACCGTCGGTAAGCTTGTGTTTGGATCCCGTTCTGCTCGATGTGGTAGATCACAAACAATTTGATATCGCACAAATTGATCTCAGCATCGTGCGTACGGTATTTTATATTCAGAAAATCCCAAAGTGTCTCTGTGTGGCCGTACTATGCCACGAGAAACTCCAATCAGGCTCCTATGTCCTCTGCCTTCATGATTGAATGTCCACTTCGTTCGAACAACGAACACAACAATCGCGGACGGCTTTGCAATGAAAAATACAGCTACCTGGAGCTGAAAAAAAGAAGAAAAAAACATGCTCAGGATGAGACTCGAGTACACGCATACTCTCCCAGCAGGTGAAACGCAAATTTTTGTGAAAAATGCGTGTCGCCGACTGACCAGTAATTTCGCCTGACGTAGTTCTGTCAGATCTGGAAGTCCTGTGAGTGCTCGCCCTGTGACAAATTATTCTGCTGAATCCCCGCAGCAGAATTCTGCCACTTCGGCGTCTTCGTCTTCCCCTGCGACGTCTCAGCGAAGGACATTTGATCTCGCGCTGGACCTGGCCCTTCTCAGGCAGCTTCACGTGTGCCTACACGTGGGCCGGAGTACACACTTGACTCAAAACATTGTTCACCAAGCGCGCAAACAGCGGAAAAAGTACTCGAAAGGGTCACCATGCATGGTCACACTACGTTTTTCGTTGAGCACAACAGATGTTCCTGTTTGTCTTTAGTCGATCTCATGTAATAAGGCAACACTGCCTGTTTGTTATTCGACGTTAAATAAACCAATCCAAAAATCCAAAAATGTTCTTTATGAATTTTCGTCACTTCCAGACAGCTCCGATTCCGAAAGATCTTTACGAATTTTCGTTATGCCCAACCTCTCTATTATTATTATTTTTTTATTCTTATTTTACTAGGGATTCCCAACAGGCGTCATTGCCTTCTTACAGGGAACCCTAAGAACTATGCTGGTGCTGGTCATTGCGCCTGTTTGCTTGTTTGTTTTGTTGGGGGGGGGGGGGGGCATTGTGCACATGTGCAACGCTGACCCCTGCTGAGTATCCATTGCTACGCCTGTCTCCCTCCCCTCCTGTACATATCCGGCGTCTGATTTGCCTTGTTCTTGTCGCTGAGTGGTCAACGAAACCTTGGGGAGTGAGGGGTGCGGGTGGGTGGTGATGAATCGTCGGCGTGTTTACCTAACACAACGTGTACATGTGTGCTGTACAGAGAGTGCGTTCTGTGGATAAAATACGCACAGCATCTTGTGGAGAGGAGCTACTGTAAAACATGTGATTTTAGGTGCATTAAAATGTCGGTGCCAGGGACCTGCCAGGTTTGAGGTGTAATGTAAAGTTAGGTGACCATCGTTCCCTTCACATACAGTGCATACTCTAGTGCATTTAGGTGTAATTTCAATGACAATGTAGGTGCCTGTTCTGCCGAAATCACCGAAATTTAAATTACACCGAAAATAACATGGTTTACAGTAACCTTTCTTTTTGCTCTTTTAAATTTTGAACAGAGCATTGTTACTCGAGGCACATTCCTTACTTCAATTCACGGCCTTCCTGTGTGTGTGTGTCGCTGCTCACGAGTGAGACACACAAACAGCATGTGTATGAATCACAGGCCCGTCGGAACCGGTCCGGCTGGTCAGGTTATTACCGGACCAACAGTGTTGCTGTGGCCTCCACACATGTTTGTTCTTTCCGACTGTGTAGGGCATGTGTTGTTTGTTTGTTTGAAGTTTTATTTTACATCGCAAACCAAACGGGTTCATTGATGTCCAGTATTATGATGGCGATAGAATAAAACAGAAATGTGGCTCGATAAAGCTGAACTCGAGAAAATGGAAATATAATATTATGTGCCGGTAATCACAAGCCAAATTCGAACAGAATTTACAATCAGAGAGAAATGGGAAACGAGGACCGATGCCAGAGGGAGGTACTATTCGGCTATATTAATAGTACCTCCCTCTGGCATCGGTCCTCGTTTTCCCGTGTACCCAGCATATCACACACAGTAAGAAGGGATAGATTACTGCCGGACCAATTAAAAAACGGTCTCCGGCTGTCCTGAATCGTGTTGGTAGATTAGCAGCTACTTGCTGTGCCCTGTTTCACTCGAGCCTCAGCGCCAGCAGCCCAGAGTGGCGTAGTGAGCTTAGTGGGCCGTCCATAATCATCGATCTTTTACATGAAGAGAACAAGTTTCGTTTATGCTTGGGTGGGTCAAGGGGAAAAATATTGATACGTGAGACATTCTTGCTGTCAAGCCCATCTATTTTTCGTTGGGGGGGGGGGGGGGGATTATCGATAATGCCGGATAGCCCCTTAGTCGGAAATTCACCGCCGACCCCACGGCGAAATTATTCGGATACAGAAAATGCCCAAGATCTGGCCAACAGAACTTGTGAATAGGGCGATGGATTCTAAACCGATTCCAGGGCTCATGACTTGAAATCAAATGACGAGATTCCGTTCATAATTTGATTATGGCAGTATTCGAACGCACTCACTCTTCATATTTCCCGCCTACATTGGCCATAGTGATTCAGAAACCCATCAGCTATAGAAGTCAATACACTGCGACCACCACCACCACCACCACCACAAGTCAACTGACTGACATTCTAAAGCGGGATTCACAGAAGCATTTTTGCGATGCGGTGTGCGATGCGACGGCCGCGAAACAGGGAAATCCCCAAAACGTAGCCATCTCGCAGCCCACGCAGCCGCCGCAACTGGGCCATCGCAGAAGTTGAGCTTGGCTCAACTTTCGCGATGCGACAAGCTATTTGGCGTACGATTTTGACTTTTTCTCCAGCAAAGTAGTACAATAGTTTAAGAGTTCATTGTAAATTTGTACAACTTGTACCAAGCCACGCGAATACCATGGTGACGGACCCACCTGCACTGAACTTCCCGCCAAATCCGCAAGGTGTCGTCGCATCGCTGACTTCTCCTGTGAATGGTAAGTTATTTCGCCGAGTTCGCATCGCACGCCTCCGTCGCAGAGCACGTCGCATCGCCCGTCGCACCGCAAAAAACAGCTTCTGTGAATCCCGCTCTACCGAGACCAGGGAAGCCTGCATGGTCCCGGCGCAGTCCCTGCGGGCATCGGGTTCACTATCGCGCGTCGGTACGTGGCCGGCAGTGCGGGAAAGCGCCTCAGAACGAACGCTGCACGGGTCGTAACACTGAATATTCCGATGCGAAAAGAAACGAAAAAACGCTGTGATAAATTAAAATATCCCGGTATGTGCTAGCTATGCTTGTCTGATCAGCTCCTGGGTCATCAGTATTGACTTGTTCGGTCTTACGAAAAAGCCGAATGCGGTTATGGATGGCTTATGGTAGGGATATCGGTCACGTGACAAAAGCGCCCGTTTCGAGCCGAACGGCGACTCATTCAAAAGTGATCAACGTGATGGCACAGTGAAGTGAGTGGACTTCTTTCTAGCGTTTGTTTGAATTTCTACCTTTTCGGCGAGGCAAAAGACGTTTCCCTGTGAGCTGAGGTTCCGAGCTTTAGTTATGACAGGGCCGTAATGGCAGGCTCAGCAGGCGGGGCAAAAAAGGGAGAAAAGGAGAAAAATGGTCCAGTTGCACCGGATCTAGATTAGGATTCGAGCCGGAAACTGAAGCGCATTCCCTCGCAGTACTCCCGGTGGATCTACCTGCCAGGTGTGGCCAGACGGCGGGCTGGGTCGACCGGGCACGCCTCATCTACAGTCCACTCATAAAAAGACGAGCGTCGGCTCTGGCGGGCTCCCGTATTTCGTGATTTTTTCGTGATCCTATAATGCATCGTGCGGTGCCGCGAATTTTGAGATTTGAAAAATGGCCCAGAATCCGCGAAAACCAGGCTTAGGGTGAAAATTTCACAAATGACTTTTTCCCATTTTCAGCTTCTACTGGGCATGGGAGGTCATGAAACAAAATATTACAGGTGTGGATCGACTCATAGTGGTATTGAAGTATCGCAAACATAGCAGGGTATTGTATTTATAATAAAAAAACCGAAAAAACATAAAATTGTTATCACAGGAAAGAACGAAGATAAATCCACCAGACTGAAGAAAGAGACATGGATGATTTCTGTTTGGGTGACATGACAAGGAAGGCATGTGGGGGCTGGCTTGTTGTGGCCCCTTGGTGCTGCAGGCTGTAGTGGCCATGCACAGTTCTGCATGAATTTTTATCCACCAGACTGAAGGAAGAGACATGGATGATTTCTGTTTGGGTGACATGACAAGGAAGGCATGTGGGGGCAGGCTTGTTGTGGCTCCTTGGTGCTGCAGGCTGTAGCACAGTTCTGCATGAATTTTGTTTGCTCCTCACTCAGCACATTCTGGGGCTGAATACATGTACTGGCATGCTCTGGCGCGGCACACCACAAGGAAATCCGACTCCAGTCGAGATGGCAGCTTTTGAAGGGTGAATCTTGTACAACTGTTCAGAAACAAGCAAGAACACAGCCTTTCAAACTGTCCCACTGTTCATAGTATGCACATAGTGTGCTGCAGTGTGTGCTTGGAGCTGACCAGCAAGTGAAATCTCGGCACGCCGTACAATCCCGTTCAGCTAGCTGCCCAGCGAGGAAAATCTCGAGTGGGGGCCTCTCGATCTGCTCGCTCCGGCATTCGCCCGGCATACAGTAGCACTTTATCGCCAAGGACTTCAATTCAAAACAGTTTTCACACTGCGCTTGCAGCCTTTTTCCTTGTGAACTTGCTGCAAACGTATGAGCTCTGCTGCGCGTTTTCGCTTTGAGTGAGGCCCAGAAACAGCTAGTGTCTCCGTACTTTGAATTGCTGGATCGATGTCGTCTGGGTTCTCCTCGCTATCGCCATCACGACTCTAACTGGAGACGATTTCTTCGCCATTTTCCGCAGCAGCAGCTAGCGCAGAAATTTCGTCATCCCTGAGTGTAGGAGATGGAATCGGTTCGATCAGCTTAAAAACTCGTCGCCATGACTAGAGGAGTAGCAGGGAATATTCTGCCGGAAGCCCTTTGACTTCCCTGACTGCTGAAACCCTTCCTGCCATGACTGCTACTTCAAACAAGCGAGATTCTCTTTGGTTTCACTTCGCTGCACTCGAGCGCCCACGCGGCACAACCGTTCTTTTTTTTACAAAACACCATTTTTCTCAAAAAAATGATTTCACCCTAAGCCTGGTTTTCGCAGAAGTTAGTTGGGCCAAATGGTCCAGAAAAGGTACCTCAACTGGTAAAAAGTAAAATTTGGATGTGAAGAGTGAAGCAAGACATATTTAATTTAGCCCCTGCGGAAGAGCGAGGTTTTACGCAAAAACACTGATTTCGCCCGAAGGTCAATTCTCGCTGAAACTGGGCCATGCGCCGAACACGTGCTGAAGCCAGCTGCTCTTCTTTATATGCTTTGTGCTGCTGTTTCTTCAGCAGAATCCAGGATGGCCGTCTGGCATTGCCGAGTTGCAACTTTCATCTTGCTTATACATGCCGTGGCGGCCTCAGCTGCGGTGGTGGCATCGACATGTAGTCCCGCGGGAGCTTCCTATATATGCAGTGGATTTACTGTCCTGCCAATTTTTGGAGCTCCTCATTTCACTAACTTGTAAGTACTGCAACGAATGGGCTCGGATGGAGAGCCGAGGTTTAATTTATACAAAAGAGAAAGGACCAAGGAACTACGTTAGTAGTAGAACGTCAGCACTGTCGGTCAGTGCCGTGCAATGCTATCGCATGAGCTGATTGTTTAGTAACTGGTGGTGTTAGTGGACAGTATAGCGTGACTTGTAGTTCCTTGGACTTTCACTGCTGCCAGCTACCGTCCTTTCCGGAGTATAAGCCACCCCCCCCCATTTTTTTGCCACGAAACACAGACATCTACTGTAAGACCAGATATTCTAATGTCAATATTATTAAAGTTAACGATCTCCGGATTTTTGTGGGTTAGCGAGGTGAAATTCTAACGAATTCTGTCTCAAAACTGGCAAATGACTGTATATGTATGTATCGTTTAGACCATAGCAAATTAAAAATGTTAAAAGCGCCGTTTCGTTCTTATAAAAGCACGAATGACCGCGATTGGTCCATATGTTGTAGTCTTTTGGACGCTGAGTCGACTGGTTTTGGTCCGAAAAGGCTACGATGCAGCGTTCAGCATTTATTCCGAATCGAACACGGATGAGGAAGCGGTCACGTGCTGATGCGTACACCAGTCGTCTGGTCACCGTGCCTGCAGGCTACAACTTTCACACCAAGGTTAAACTCAAAGCCTGGTTCACCTCGGGTGACAGGAACGCTGCAGGCGCGCGCCCATGCGTGTGAATTTGTTTGACGCAATATCAATTTCCAAGATATTCACATCTTCTACCCTCTGTTCTCATTTATGTCACTCTTACCCCCTTCAGGCGGGGCATGGAATGGCAAAATGCTGCATTGCCATTAGTGATCCTGAGAAGTATGTGTGCGTGCAAGCAAGTGCACGAGTGGACGCATGTGCGTGTGCACAAGCATGTTCGTACAAGCGCTTGTATAAGCATAATAGAGAGGTTCCGGGTATGATTTTCCGTGCCAAAATCCGTATGGGCGCTACGGATTTTTTTCCAGGCGTGCTCCATACGATTTTTCGGCACGGAGAATCCGTGTGGACTGGCTTTCATACGAACCATGTTTCGTATGGAGATTTTGCGTCATCGGGTGCAGAAAGATTTTTTCGCGACAAATTTGGTACGAGAAACATCGATTTTTGCGGGAAGTTTTGATTTCGCTACAAATTTTCAAAATAAAAAAGGCATAGCGCGGGAATGTGACGTGTTTGCAATCGTAACCTAGGCAATGACGGCAAACACATAAGTTCCGCACCCCGGAACTTTTCACTGCTCGAAAACGACGTATAAAAATCCGTAGCGCCTCCACGGATTTTGGCACGAAAATCGTACTCCGGAACCTCCCTATTATGGTGAACGAAGTGCCCCGAGTTACGGGCAACTCTGAGATACAGGCAGTGCCCGGTCCCAAGGCGTCCGGATATGAGACGTTGGAGTGTACAGCCTACTCAGTTGATTTTAATGGGAAATATAACACAATATACAACTCACTTCGCCTCGGTGTGCATACATGTTTTGTGTATTTCTCGTATAATCAACTGGTTAGGTTATGTTATCTCCGTATTGCATGGTACAGTCAGACCTCGCTTATCCGGATCCCTCGTCATCCGGAAGAAAATCGCTGGCTACCGATGCGCAGCATACATTACGCATACAACATAACCGGACCTCGCCATCCGCATACCGTTGCATGATTTTGTGCACGAACTGGTCGAATTGTGTACAAAAAGCTTCGTCGTATCCGGTTGCACGAGTTGTACAAACAAAAATGAGGTCCTTGACCTGCTGAATGCATGCGGATAGCACTCAGTTGCATGCACTTGTCATTTTTCTCGCTTGTTTTACATATTGTGCACGCTAGTTGTACTGCATAGGACCCGTCTACATGTATGTACGATGCTGCCGTTTTGATGTGCCACGTGCATATACAGTATGCAGGCGCGTGCACCGTATGAGTTTTTTGGTGTCTGGAAACCACCTTTTTTCGGGCTATCTTGCCAAAGGAAAAGCGTACCTACTGGATTGGTTATCCTGCATACGCGTCGATCGACGGGCAGTTTACAGTACAGTGACTATGTCCTTATTTCAAAATGAGAGAGAGTTGCTTTGCATGCAGTTCAAAATACATTATTCTCTCTTTCTTCAGTGGAGAGTAGCCACAGAGAGATCGATCTCTAGCTCTGGTTCGCTCCTGGATTGGCGATGACGTTCAAGAAATCCGTTTTGTCTCGAAATTTGAGTCAAGCACACACGATGCAAGTCAGTTCAACTTCAAGGATATGATTAACGATATCTCCTTCCAAACTGTTAACTCAAATGAAGATCTCCACAGCCTTTCGTTCTCGCTCATGTGCGCAGCAGAGATGTTCGTCAAAAACGTTGTTGACTGGAAGACGTAAAAATGTGCGTCCATGATTCATTTGCGTTGCTTCAGAGCGAAGCGCTGCTCCAGCCGCGACTCAAGGACGCGGGGCTTCGCTTTTCTTCAGCGAGCTTCCATCGAAGCAATGTCCATTACTCTTTATTGAAATCATGTGGAATATTGCCAATACATGCTGAAAACTTCGTCATATTCAAAGAACAGAAAGAAAGATACGTCGAATGTAAGCAGTGTTTTGATGAAACAAACATGCCTGGAGTGGACTAGTGAAGTACCATAGATAAAGTCCCTCCCCCCCCCCCCCCCCCTCCTCCCTAGCCCTCGCCGTTATCTCCGACGGGATGTTCGGGGGATGCGCATGTGCACAAATAATTATTCCCGTAGCTATGCAGAAGACGTTACTTCAGTAACGTCTGGCGCTAGCCAGGGTCCACACAGCTTTAATTTGGTGTTTGTTTGTTTGTTTGTGTGTTTGTGTCACGCCTGGCGCTATCCCGTATCTGTCCCGTACCGTACCGTACCATCAAACACAGCTGGCCACATACAGCTGGCCGCAATATTCAAATAGGGCTTTCAAACGCAAGATCATAACGTGAAGCAACTTGGAAGAATGAGTATGAGTACGAAGTGTATGGGGGAATGCATGTGGGGCGATAGTGCGAGTTTGAATCCCAGGTAATGCCTGAAAAAAATAGGAGAATAGAAAAAATTATAACATCCCTTTTCTTTTTTTGCAGTCATCAAGGCGGTAGACGGTGTCGTATTACCCTCGACCGTACCTGTCCTGTACCTGTCCCGTACATGTCCCGTACCGTACCGTACATTCAAAGACGCTGGCCACAATGCATATTCAAATAGGGCTTTCAAATACAAGATCATAACGTGAAGCAACTTGGGAGAATTAGTATGTATGTGTCATGACCCGGACTCGACTCGTCGTGAAAGCGACCATGCATTGAGTTCAGCAGCCAAAAGCTGGGCTCCGAAATATTCTAGAGTTCTGTAAGAACCATGATTAGTCCTACGAAGGATTTGGCACTTTCGTTAGTTGAGCAATCATGGCTTACAACTCGTGGCCTCGAGTCACAAGTGTTGTCGTACGGCGGCTGCACCTTCAGTACAAGTCGTCAGCATTGTACTCACTACACTGTTGAGCTTGAGGGGACCCTGCTTAGTCCTGCAAGGGAGCTGATACCTTTGTTAGTCGAGCAAGCATGGCACCTCTTCTCGCGTCGTACGACGTAAAGGGTCCTGCAAGTGCTTCGCGCACTGCGGACTCCGTTATCCCTTTTTGGGAGAGGTCACGGCTTGACCGTGCAGCGCCCTACGGGGTAATGAGAGGGAAGAGCCTACGGGGCAGAAGATGAAGGGTGACCCAATCAAGACACCGTACGAAGGCGGCGCGCTCTAGCTGCGGCAACATCCGTCAGCGTACTCCAGGCTCCGTCGCACGATCGCCGTACGAATAACCTCGGACATCACGCATAGTTGTAACTCTTTCATGTAATGTGGGTGAGCGAGCTCCCCGTATTGATTGATCATTCTTTGTACTATATTCTAGTTTGGCTGATTGCACATATTGCACCACTGTTTGTAATATAGAAATAATCCTTACGCATTCTTGCCACTGTATACTTTTGATCACATAATGTAGCATATATAAGGAGCTTGAAGACACCACTGCAGCTGTACTTATGGTTGATAAATATGGTGGTAAAGACACACCTGGCAATATGGCGGTAAACACACGCCTGCCCACACACGCTCTCTAGGCTGCACAGTTCTGGCACAGAGCTCTCCTTCTCACCACCACCACCATCAGTTCGCGCCTGGCGCCTGGTCGATGCATGGCTGGCGGTATCCGGCATAACAGGCTGGTACATCAAGTAGCGCATGGCACATAGATGATGACACAGCAACGACATAGCTCGATTGCGACGTACGTTTCGTCCCCGCTGGACTCATCAGGCAATCTTCTTCCTTGGATGTCTTCATACGGAGCTTGACTCGGGAGAATGAAATTGAAGACACCACTGCAGCTGTACTTATGGTTGATAAATATGGTGGTAAAGACACACCTGGCAATATGGCGGTAAACACACGCCTGCCCACACACGCTCTCTAGGCTGCACAGTTCTGGCACAGAGCTCTCCTTCTCACCACCACCACCATCAGTTCGCGCCTGGCGCCTGGTCGATGCATGGCTGGCGGTATCCGGCATAACAGGCTGGTACATCAAGTAGCGCATGGCACATAGATGATGACACAGCAACGACATAGCTCGATTGCGACGTACGTTTCGTCCCCGCTGGACTCATCAGGCAATCTTCTTCCTTGGATGTCTTCATACGGAGCTTGACTCGGGAGAATGAAATTGAAGACACCACTGCAGCTGTACTTATGGTTGATAAATATGGTGGTAAAGACACACCTGGCAATATGGCGGTAAACACACGCCTGCCCACACACGCTCTCTAGGCTGCACAGTTCTGGCACAGAGCTCTCCTTCTCACCACCACCACCATCAGTTCGCGCCTGGCGCCTGGTCGATGCATGGCTGGCGGTATCCGGCATAACAGGCTGGTACATCAAGTAGCGCATGGCACATAGATGATGACACAGCAACGACATAGCTCGATTGCGACGTACGTTTCGTCCCCGCTGGACTCATCAGGCAATCTTCTTCCTTGGATGTCTTCATACGGAGCTTGACTCGGGAGAATGAAATTGAAGACACCACTGCAGCTGTACTTATGGTTGATAAATATGGTGGTAAAGACACACCTGGCAATATGGCGGTAAACACACGCCTGCCCACACACGCTCTCTAGGCTGCACAGTTCTGGCACAGAGCTCTCCTTCTCACCACCACCACCATCAGTTCGCGCATTTATCAACCATAAGTACAGCTGCAGTGGTGTCTTCAATTTCATTCTCCCGAGTCAAGCTCCGTATGAAGACATCCAAGGAAGAAGATTGCCTGATGAGTCCAGCGGGGACGAAACGTACGTCGCAATCGAGCTATGTCGTTGCTGTGTCATCATCTATGTGCCATGCGCTACTTGATGTACCAGCCTGTTATGCCGGATACCGCCAGCCATGCATCGACCAGGCGCCAGGCGCGAACTGATGGTGGTGGTGGTGAGAAGGAGAGCTCTGTGCCAGAACTGTGCAGCCTAGAGAGCGTGTGTGGGCAGGCGTGTGTTTACCGCCATATTGCCAGGTGTGTCTTTACCACCATATTTATCAACCATAAGTACAGCTGCAGTGGTGTCTTCAATTTCATTCTCCCGAGTCAAGCTCCGTATGAAGACATCCAAGGAAGAAGATTGCCTGATGAGTCCAGCGGGGACGAAACGTACGTCGCAATCGAGCTATGTCGTTGCTGTGTCATCATCTATGTGCCATGCGCTACTTGATGTACCAGCCTGTTATGCCGGATACCGCCAGCCATGCATCGACCAGGCGCCAGGCGCGAACTGATGGTGGTGGTGGTGAGAAGGAGAGCTCTGTGCCAGAACTGTGCAGCCTAGAGAGCGTGTGTGGGCAGGCGTGTGTTTACCGCCATATTGCCAGGTGTGTCTTTACCACCATATTTATCAAATATAAGGAGCTGTTTTGCTAACATTCATCCTCGATTCTCGGGGAGCTCACTACTCCTCTCGATTCTCGGGGAGCTCACTACTCCTCTCGATTCTGAGAGAGTCACTCCGACTCTCTCCTGCTTTGGTCTTTTGACTCTACACACTTGATCTTTCGATCTAGTACTGCAATGGTTCAAATAAACACTGTTCAAGTGGAATTAGAAACCTGTCGTTCTATGTGACCTAGCAACTTGGATGGCGACTATATTGGTCGTCTACCTGGGTAGCCACTAGACTGATCTAAGCCAAGTCACAAACCCGCCGAAGCGCGGCCATGACATATGTGAAGTGTATCGGGGAATGCATGCAGGGCGATAGTGCGGGTTCGAATCCCAGGTTATGTCTAAAAACAAAAAGTAGAAACTTATAAGAATTTATAACATCCCTATGCTTTTTTGTCTAGGTCATCAAGGCAAAAAAGCATAGCGTAGGGCCCTGAGCTTCCAAGCTCTCGCGTATAATTATACAGTGGGGCTCTCTCGTATAATTATACAGTGGGGCTCTCTCGTATAATTATACAGTGGGGCTCTCTCGTATAATTATACAGTGGGGCTCTCTCGTATAATTATACAGTGGGTCTCCAGGAAAAAATTTACCAACTCTAGAAACCCCCTTTTCAAGACTCGGTGCACGCCACTGGTATGTGTGTTCAGTTATCCGGTTCCCTCGCCTATCCAGATATTTTTGGTGGAAAACGGATGTGTGCGGTTAAAAGCGAGGTCTGACTGTATACTCAGCAAGTACCCAACAGTTAGCGAGCGGAGACTTTCGTGCCAAATTCTGCCCCCGAGGTTGTGCAGAACAAACAATTACATTATACTAGCATTAAGTGCTACCCTTGTTCTATACGTACCCGTTGTGCCAATCGAGCCTGGGCCCTCTACTCGACTCCACGGCCCCCATGCTGACACCAGTCACCTGGTCACCGTGCCCGCAGGCTACACCTTACAGCCTGTTTGGAAGCGTTCCTCTCACTCGAGTTGAACCTTTGAATCATTGAGTTTAAAGGGGAAGTTAAGGCTAAAATCAAAATTTCATCACTTGTAGTCTTCGGGGTGCTGAGTCGAATGGTCTTGGACCGAGGAAGCTCCCTTCCTACTTTAATCCCAATCGAACTCGCGCACTTCCACCGAAACTGGGTGACTGCGCCCTACTAGATGGGGATTTGTTTGCAAAATGTCACTAAAAGCGCCATTTCGTTCTTATAAAAGCACGGATGACCGCGATTGGCCCATATGTTGTAGTTTTTTGGACGCTGAGTCGACTGGTTTTGGTCCGAGAAAGCTGCGATGTAGCGTTCTTCCTTTATTATCCTTTATTCCCAATCGAACATGGTTGAACAAGCGGTCACGTGCTCCTGCGTGGCCAAATCACCTGGTCACAGCGCCAGCAGGCGACAACTTTCACGCCAAGGTTCAACTCGAGTCAACTCGAGTGACAGGACTGCACCCAAAAAAGGTCAAAACAGGCTGTAAGTTGTGCCCTGCAGGCACGGTGACCAGGTGACTGGTGTACGCAGGAGCACGTGACCGCTTGTTCAACCATGTTCGATTGGGAATAAGGGCCGAACGCTGCGCAGCCTTTTCGGACCAAAACCAGTCGACTCAGCGTCCAAAAGACTACAACATATGGGCCAATCGCGGTCATCCGTGCTTTTATAAGAACGAAATGGCGCTTTCAGTGACATTTTGCATTCAAATCCCCATCTAGTAGGGCGCAGTCACCCAGTTTCGGTGTAAATGCGCGAGTTCGATAGGGATTAAAGTAGGAAGGGAGTGTCTCAGCTTCCTCGGACCAAGACCATTCGACTAAGCACCCCGAAGACTACAACTGGTGAAATTTTGATTTTAGCCTTAACTTCCCCTTTAACCTTTGAACCATTGAGTTGAACCTTGCTGTGATAATTAGTTGTAGGCTGCAGGCACGGTGACCAGGCGACTGGTGTACGCACAAGCACGTGACCTCTTACTCAACCGTGTTCAATTAGGAAAAAGGGCCGAATGCTGATCGCAGCCTTTTCGGACCAAAACCAGTTGACTCCGCGTCCAAAAGACTACAACAGTCGCAATCATCCGTGCTTTTATAAGAACGAAATGGCGCTTTTAGTGACATTTTGCATACAAATCGCCATCTAGTAGGGCGCAGTCACCCAGTTTCGGTGGAAATGGTGAGTTCGATTGGGAACAAAGGAGGAAGGGAGTGTCTCAGCTTTCTCGGACCTAGACAATTCGACTCGGCACCCCAAAGACTACAACTGGTGAAATTTTGAATTTACGGTATGCTTCCCATTTAATTTACTGCTGCTCGCAAGCGCTTCTTTTCGAACTGCTGCCAGTGCAGTAGCTTGGTGTTTGTTCAAACCCAGGTTGAAACTTTTGAGGGGGGGGGGGGGGGCGCATGCCATGCACACCCCCTAAACCGCCACTGTTTCTACCGCCTCTTATCGAATATTGCAACGCCTAGAGCAAGCATGTCCCCCGGGGAGATGAGCGACGAAGATACCTGGCTGCATCACTCCATCCTTTCATTGTTGATCCCACACATGTAGTCCGCATGATACTTATGCTGGTCTAATGCATGCTCTTGCTGTCTGCTTTTGTGTTTTGTGTGCATCAGCACTTGTACCCGCTGCAATTTAACTAGTCTACCAGCAGACATACTAAGGTCACGAGTCTTGACGGCCGTGTAAGTGCAGCATTTCTTTTAGCCCATGCCATCGTTTTGTGCCTGATTTCTGTTAACCCTCTGCGTCCGGATGACGTGTATACACGCGCCTGAAAGTGAACCGATGCCGGTTCTCTGATGACGTGTATACACGCGCTTCGGTTTGCGTCGCGTATCGTGGTGAATAGACCAGTCTACAAACTTTCGATACTCTGTGAAAAAGCATCCGATCTCCACAAACAACACACCGTTGGAAAGGTATTGAGCTCAGCTTTGCAGAGCCATAAAGTTGTTCACGGTAGGATAAAGGTTGACTGAGCGGCAACAAAAAGAACACGGAAATCACGGCCTGTAGCGAATGCGAATTTGTTTGTTCGTGACTTCGCAGTTTTTTGGAGCATGCCAGGGGATTTCCCTTTTGCCCAGCGCATGCATTATGGACGTCAAATGAAGCACATGGATCTCAGCTTTGCAGAGCAGTTTGAATCGTGAAAATTGTTTTAACTTGAGCAAGGAGCCCAAAAAGAATGTGTGACTGAGTTGTTGTTTCGTTCCGAGGCATGGTGGGCCAGTTTGGAGAGGTCGTGGAGCTGAGAGCTTCCAGGATGGATTTACTTGGTCCTGATCTTTCCAACAAGCCCAGGATGACGAAATTCCATCCAGGTGAACTGAAATGAGAATAAATTTTGATCGGAGCAGTGTGCCCAAACTCCACCAGGAGAGTCTGTGCGCCGGAGTGCCAGATTACTGGGGAAAACAGGCCAGCATGCAACGGGTTATTGGGTGCGGACATTGACACGTAGCCATGACAAATGTCTGAATAGACGGCGAGGAGCCAGCAGTGCAATTGTTGTAGGTGGTTTTCTTGACCTGCTCCCAGCCCTGTGCCATCTCCACACTTGGGCAATGGACGTGATAATTACATTTGGAAGACTGTTTATTACAAGTGGACGGCCGTCGGAAGCACAACAGGACAAGACATACTCGAGACGGAGACTGCTTTTCACACCATGGCAACACGCGGGCACATGCACCAACACCACATACGCACAATGTACACACAATAACGCATTACAAGACAAGTATTGCCATGAAGAAGACGAGCTGAAGTGATTTTCAGTTAGATATTTGACACGTTTGACAACCAATAGAAACAATGTGCAATACACCACAACACACTCGTACCTCAGTTATCCGGATTATCCAAGTTACGGGCATTACGGTCTACCGAGCATTCTTTGGGCGAGTTTCAGTGGAAATATTACTACTCTTCTGTCACTTTTGTGGAAGTAGTGATGTCATAATTATGCCATGTTTATAGCTTTTCCCAGTCACAGTGTATGCGATTCGGAGATGCGGACATTTCAAATTACGGGTAGTGCCCGGTCCCGGACCGCCCGGTAGTGCCCGGTCCCGGACCGCCCGGTAGTGAGCGGTCCCGGACCGCCCGGTAGTGAGCGGTCCCGGACCGCCCGGTAGTGAGCGGTCCCGGACCGCCCGGTAGTGTCCGGTCCCGGACCGCCCGGTAGTGCCCGGTCCTGGGCCGCCCGGATACACGACGTATGAGTGTACTGTGAGAAAAGAGGGAACGAAGTGAGAAAGGACGATGGAAAAAGTCGTTTATTTTGCGTTGGATTAAACTATTCGCTGACGATAATTGTGGTCTGTTTGCCCCGGTAAAAGAGCCTTTCATTGCATGAAAAACCCCGATTAGAACAAGTTTTTTTGTGCAGCACTCTTGAGGAATCATCGTTATACTGGAGAGCAAAAAAATGCTACGGTTCGCGCGAGACCGAGTTTTCCGCATCCATAGGAACCCCACCGCCCCTCCAGGGATCAAGGCGGCGAAGCAGCTCCTAAGCGGTGAGCCAATCAGAAAGACAAACAAGAATAGAAAGCAAAGTTGAAGAATCTACGTGGAGATGAAAGTTTAATAATAGCTATGAAAAGTATGAATGCGGCAGACATCACCACGCAACATGGCAACTTGTTCAAGGTTTGAAATTGTATGTATCCGGAATCAATTGTCAAGCTCTGATCATGAGTGGAAACTAAGGCGCTGCCGCCTGTTGGGAATTCTCTAGTAAAAGAAGAATACCCCGTGAAGTCCGAATTTGAAATTGCGGAAGAAGAATAAATAATAAATTAATAATATTTGAAACTCGGATGTTGAGCCATAAATAAATGTAGAAAAGAAAAGGACATATGGATACGAGTTAAGAGTAACTCTCCATCACTGTAACATGATACTATATACAGTCAGAAAATGCAATAACTAGGCACAAAACTGACAGAGTACTGAGACATTCGACGTCCTGACACCTAGCTTCAACACATCTCCGTAGCGCTAACCGACAGCCTTCCAACTTGGAAGGTTCAAGGTTATGGAAAGACCAAAGAGGCTCAACATCCGAGTTTCAACATCCGAGTTTCAAATTGCACACCTGATGAGCCGTCACGAACCATACGGCGAAACGTACGTCGTGTGAAACAACTTGTTTTTTAGTCAACTAGTCCATCACAAAGTCATGCATGAGGAGTACTGTAGGAGTTTGGCTTTCGGCTTGTACAATTCGTTTTCGCAAAGCTTCCCATTTCTTTACTTATCTTTGATATTTATGATCCACCCAAGTTGGGTGGTGTGCTGCTTTGCTGCTTTGAATTGTAGTTAGACCGCTTTGTCAAATACCGTACTGGTCTCGTCATCGTCCAGTAACTATCGACATTCTTTGTTCCGTTGGGACTGTAGCTTTTGCTCGTTTTCGTTGCGCTTGCCTTCCCCTCTTTGGTCTTTCCATAACCTTGAACCTTCCAAGTTGGAAGGCTGTCGGTTAGCGCTACGGAGATGTGTTGAAGCTAGGTGTCAGGACGTCGAATTTCTCAGTACTCTGGTAGTTTTGTGCCTAGTTATTGCACTTTCTGGCTGTATATAGTATCATGTTACAGTGATGGAGAGTTACTCTTAACTCATATCCATATGTCCTTTTCCTTTCTACAAATAATAATATAAAAATAATAAGGAACATGGAACAAAAGTCATCAAGGTAAAAAACAAAGGTTAAATATCCCCTTATTCGTGAGTTGTTTCTGCACACTTGTGTTGCGAAAGAAGGATCCACGAGCGGGATTCGAACCCAGCCCTGTCTTTCCGGGACAGTGCCCTACCGATTAGGCCACCGGGGATCACACACACACTCATGGGTCCTTCTTGCTACACTGCTCCCCCGCCCCAACAGGCTGTGTCCTCACGCCGTACCTACTCGCGGGGGGTACGATGGGTCGTGGGTTCGAGCCATTGCCAGACGCCAATGTTGCATCGTCCAATTAAATTGACGACACTTGTCATGCCCATTTGTCACACGTACATTCTGTCTTTATTTTAGGCCTCACTTCTGTAATACTTGCACGTCATTTGTCACACTTACTTGGATTTTTTGCCCTTGTTTTTTTCTTTCTTTTTTTCGCTTGATCACTTTAGCTCCATATTTCCACTCATGATTGGAGCTTGGAAATCGATTATGGATACATGCAATTTCAAACCTTGAACAAATTGTATTGTTGCGTGGTGATGTCTGCAGCATTCATACTTTTAATAGGTATTTTTAAAGTTGAAGAAGCAAAAAATGTTCCCAATAAAAAAAATAAAATAAAAAACGCATATCATTCTACAGATCTGAAATATCAAAGTGTGATTTCTAACAATGCAGATACAGTAAAAGCTGGTGTAAGCGACCTCTGGGTTTAGCGACCACCTGCTCTTAACGACCGTTTTTTCCATGCACCGACAGTTCTACACGGACACTGCGGGACCTGGTTCTAAAGACCACCTGGCTTCAATGATCGCTTTTGCTTGCACCGTCGGGTGGTCGCTTAAACCAGGTTTTACTGTACATGCAATACGGGTACAGGTAGTAACAAGGAAAGTGTACAAGAACGAATGACACTCGGAACAATGATAACTTATGATAAAAAAAGGTTTCTAACGTGCACAGCCGCACAACGTCCTTGGCCACGCTAAAAACACTTCTGTCTTTCCAAATGTTTGCCCTAGAGGGAATATTCACTTCTTGAGGGAATGGAAAGGGGAAAGTTTGAAGAAGAAAAATTGACTGTCAGGCACCAGGACTCGGACCTGGGACCTTCTCTTGAGGACTGCCGCGGCGATGCTCTAAGCACTGAGCTATGGCGTAGCTGTCATCCCAGCAGAGACCGTTCAACATTTCCTTCCGTCTTCACGACTCGCGCTTCCTGGGAACCCTACACACGCTGGTGGGACGCAGCCCTCACTGACTGTACCCACACACTTTACGCACATACTACAGTCCATTTCAAAACTATAGACGCGTACCTAGGCAAAAACCGTTATGCCAGCATCTATCCAACATAAAATCTGTGATCACTTTGTGCATAATTTTTTCCAAATTGGGCGTCTGTTATCCAATCGTTTAGAAACTATATGAGAGTAATTGTGGAACGATCCTGAGCAATATTCCGAAAACTATTCTCAAAACGTTCCAGCCAAATTTGAAATATTTCAAAAACCCTACGCGTCTATAGTTTTGAAATGCACTGTAGTGTGCGGGGAGCCCCAAAGTACAAACATTCACTGGCTGAGAGAATGGAAAAGGGAAAAAGTCCAAGAGTGTAGTTGTAATTTTATTGTTTGAAAGGATTCCCCAAAGGCTTTCGCCTATCGGGGGGGTCGTTCAAACTTTCCATACTATGCCAAATCTGTAAAAGAAGTGATGAGCAATAGTTGAGCAAAGAAAGAGAAAAGGACGTAGTCTAGGGCAGAGCTGTGTGCCTAGAGGGCATCATTAGGGATGTGGTGGATCCTGTGAACGTGAACAAGAATATTATTTATTATTATTATGCTCTATTCGCGTTAGCATCAGTGAGCTTATAAAGCTCACATATAGCCTTCGCTTAAGCCGCAAGAAGGAGCAAGTGAGCGCGAGGAAGCGCAATGCACACAGAGCGTCAAAACAAAACAAAAAAAAACAAAACATAAACAAAGAGACAAGAATATACACAAATGAAAGCACAATCTGCTTTTCGGGCCGTGTGAACTCATCAAAATGGCCGCGCGTTTAGTATTCAAGGTTTCTATTAGCAGTTAAAAATAACACATCACCAATCCTCAGCAAGTTGAACACGCTAGAAAAATTCGGCAGTCTTGATTTTTTGCGTTATTCTTCTCCGTTTGCTGTTGTTCTCGTAGAGTTCTAAGCTCGTCACTGGTGCTAACGATTGATCCTGCTGCATTTCACAGCCTCACAGGTCTTACGGTCCTGTAAGTTGTTAGCTGTGTGCGAATTGCCTGGCATCTTTCATTACGATACCATGACATTACATGCATTCATTCGATGTCTAGTTGCAACGCTGACGCCGACACCTCTGGTCGGTTGAGTTGCTCCCAGCACGTCGGCACGTCGTCCCTACATCCCCTGTGTTTTGTCCATTTCCTCGTTTCTTTTTGTTCTCCACCTGTTTTCCAGTAGGGCTAGGTTAATAGTAAAAAAAAGAAAATCTCCCTTGCACCTACAGTACGGTAAAACCGGGAATTTTCGGTGGTGTTCTTTTTTCGGTAGCCTAATTTTCGGTGTTTCCCCAAATCAACGGTTCGAAATATTGGTAAATCAGTATTCCGTACTGCATGTACGGATAATTATTTTCGGTGCGTTTTATTTTTCGGTAAATTTACCTGCACCGGAGTTACCGGAATTAAATCTCCACCGAAATTGTCCGGTTTTACGGTGCTGCTCATTGAGATCCGACCCATTGGGTCAGGGACGTGCCGTGCCGAAGTGAGCCTCCCACAGTTGGCATAATCCAGTTGTCGTCACGGGTTTGAGAACCGCGAACGAACTGCCTCCACGCTCCTCGCCACGCCACACAACACAGGACTAGCACAAATTGTTAGAGAGCTTTTTCTTCTACTTCGCTTCAGTAGGCGATGGAGAACTCATGGTTATCAGACAACTAACACTGACAACGAACGACGGACGACTGACACTGAGACAAGACTAGACAACAGAATATATTAGATTGAAGGGGACAGAAGACGGTGCAGCCGCATGTACGCAGGAGTCAAAAACAGCGCAGCAGCATGTACCACGACTCGGCAGCATGTACAACAAAGAGACACAAAAGCAGCCACATGTACGACAAAGAGCTACACGTGCAACCGCATGTACAACGAAGAGACACAAGCGCAGCCACATGTACAACACTATCCCCCATCAAAAAAAAACATCCACTCCTGTGGATGGAAGCAATCAAAACAAAATTAGAAGAAAGACAGGAGAAAAATAAATCAAATGTGAACACAATACAGAGGAGAATAGAAACAAAACATGCAGGGCCAAAACAGTAAGAGACGTAACTCCGGACAAAGGGGAAAAAGCCAAGGCACAAATGTGTGAAAAGAAAACAGACCGGGCCCACCCATAGAGGGAACCGCCATACTTGCAGGCGTGGGCCGCCAGGAAGTAACCACGTTGCCCTGGTACGAAGCCAAGGCAAACCGATGGCACTGCGAAGACCGCGGCAGCTGAACCGGGTGACCAGGCATCTGGAAGCACAGGAGTTGTCCGGAAAACCATCACGCAGCCGATGGGGCTACGAAAGCTCACAGAGACAGAAAGACACACACAGAAAGAAACACGGACTGACGCAACCATCTCAGCCATCGCCGAAAATCAGAAAAGCACACGAAGGAAGGGAAGAACAGCCAGGAAGAACACGTCGACGGAAACAGGAGCAATTAATCAGTGAGGACACCATTGAGGACACACAAACAAATCGGTTACCAATACGCAAAAGATAATGAAGAAAAAACCACAGGGCGCTACCCTGAAAAACCCACAGGGATCGAACCTGAAAAAACCACAGGGATTGAACCTGAAAAAACCACAGGGATTGAACCTGAAAAACACGGAACTACATCCGCTTCGCAAAAACCAAAAAACCGAGACAAAAACTGTCAGGGACCGACTGGGGCGCGCAAGGGCCAACCAGCAACACGCGGAAACCATAACACCCGCAAGGCAAACCGATACAACAAAACACAGGATCCCTGCAGACCACCAGGCAGACCGTGGCTCACCATGATCAGACGCCCACCCAAACGAACTAGAGAGACCCACATGCCGAAACACAATTATTACAAAACCATACGCTCACAAAAAAAATTCAACCTGGATCCGAAACGAGAATCCTACATGAAGTTCACACCTCCCACCAAACCGGAAGCCACCAGCTTTCCGACTGGGTGCACAGTGCATGACCGAGCCTGACAACGCTCTGCACGGAACATGGAGAAACTACTACTACGACTACTACTTCTACTTCTAGCACTAGAGAAACGGTAGAAACACGAAACAAAATATGGATCGACTACAAACGAGGCAGCACCTCGAGAACGTTCAGGTGGACATCCAAACAAATCACGCGACACAGTCACAATATCGGAGCAGTCCGACGGCAACTCGGTCTCCGTGACAAGCACAAGTGCACAACACAAGACGAGATCAAAGCTACCCATGCTGAATTCACGATGAGCAAGCAAAAACAAGTTCCAGATTCGAACGCGAAGCACACAAACAGAAGTTTGAAATTTTCATACACACAACCGTACGGTACAGGGTAGTCGATCTACTAGTCAGAGCGACACAGGAACAACGAACAGAACGGGGCGAACTTACAACGAGCAGCTAGACTACACTACACACTCGAGCACAAGAGAACAAGGTTCCACGGACCTCCTGCCGGGACCCGAGTCAGAGTCACCCAACGCAAAACAATTTGAAAAAAATCGAAATCGAATACAAGTTACGGCAACACATTACGCAGAGTAGACAATTACAAAGGCATTCTCACCTGAGTAGGCGCTCTCATGAGAGGCTTGGACGTTCGTGAGACTCAAGTAGCTGGGCCATGGCGAGAACACGAAGAGGAGACGAAAACACAGCTGATATGGAGACGAACTCAGGGTCGTGGACACGATTTGTTGGGCGCCAAATGTCGTCACGGGTTTGATAACCGTGCACGAACTGCTCTAGGCTCCTCGCCACGCCACACAACAAAGGACTAGTGCAAATTGTTAGAGAGCTTTTTCTTCTACTTCGCTTCAGTAGGCGATGGAGAACTCATGGTTATCAGACAACTAACACTGACAACGAACGACGGACGACTGACACTGAGACAAGACTAGACAACAGAATATATTAGATTGAAGGGGACAGAAGACGGTGCAGCCGCATGTACGCAGGAGTCAAAAACAGCGCAGCAGCATGTACCACGACTCGGCAGCATGTACAACAAAGAGACACAAAAGCAGCCACATGTACGACAAAGAGCTACACGTGCAACCGCATGTACAACGAAGAGACACAAGCGCAGCCACATGTACAACACAGTGCTGCACATGGTATTGACTGGCCCAATCGAATTCATTGGTCAGCACGGCACCTTCACCTGCATTGTGCATTGTTTAGCAGAGGCAGAGGCAGAGGCGCACGCTACGACCAGCACGACCGTGATCGTAGCACTTTTCGTCCAGGACGGTCCGTCCAGCTGGCCGGAGCGCCTGTAGAGGGCGCTAAAACGTGCCCTGGTGGCTGAAAACCCCGAATTCTCCCCTCAATTTTCGTAACCGTGTCGAAGACGTCACAGATTTGGCCTATTCTGGGCAAGTTAATTAATGACGATATCATTATGTCATCATTATGTTACCAAATTTTAGTGGGCGGGCGGGAGGGAGGGCGGGAGGGAGGGCGGGAGGGAGGGAGGGAGGCAGAGAAAGAAAGGGTCATGGTGCGTGGCCCAGTAGTTGCAGCCACGCCAGCACTACATACAGTAGGTAGTGGCGACAGAGACACCAGGTGATGGTCATGGTAGCAGTAACGTAGATCTGCTGTCAAGTCGCTCTCCTTTCCCTGGACAGTACTGTGGGACGCCGAACTTGAACGACCAGTCTAGAATTGCACTGAGCACAGCATACTAATGTACCGAATCATCTCTAATATAAGCATAGTCTCCAATAATAGCACGTCTCCAATAATAGAATACCTTGGGGGGGGGGGGGGGGGGCGGCATTCAAAAAATAAAGTGCTCAGTCTCCATTATAAGCACACTGTGTAAATTCATTATCTGTACCGGCGAAAAAAAACCTGAAATGTGTGTGTCATACATGAATTTGGCATGGCAACATGCCTCTGAAATGAGGTTGAAATAATAATGGAACAGTCTCCAATAAAGGAACGTCTCCATTAAAGGGGAAGTCCGGTGAAAAATTTAAATTTCACAGTCCGTAGAGTTCGGGTCGCTGAGTCGAATGGTGTTTGTCCGAGGAGGCTGCGGCTTATGGTTCGTCAGATACGCCCAATCGAACATGTGCGAATTTGAGCGTGCATCAGCCAGATCCAGGTGATGACATCACAGCATGCAGCCAGGTAGCCGCACCATCTAGTTGTGTACAAAATGACCATATTCGGAGCGCGTTCGATTGGGGAACTGTTTGTCGCAGCTTCTTCGGACCAAGACCATTCGATTCAGTGTTACAAACACTACATACCCTGTGATTTTCAGCTCGGTAAACCTCGAGGTTATACCGTATTTTAGCCGTTTCCGAGTTGGACTTTTTCCGTCAGCATGCCTCTACGGATCTGCGCTGTGTGCATGCTAGCTAGCTGTAGTGCAGTCAACAAACTCATCAGACATCACACACGGAACTACTCCCGCACTGCCGTGCTGGGTTAGTACAGCTACAACAAGACTCGAGTCACAACTGACACAAGACTCAGAAAACTAGTCAACACACGGACTTGTCATGTACTAGTACATATACTACACTCGTATCAGTCGTACAGTCATGAAGTCAGAGAACGTGCGTTTCTCCTTGCTGGTGCTGGTGGTTGTGCTTTGAGAAAGAAAATTTTAGTTTTCCGCTCCCGCCTCATTATTTTATGCTACAGCGATGAGTGCACAACCGTGACAAGTGACAAAACAGCGAACAGCTCCCCGACGTAGAACTTTCGGATTCCATAGCGTTGCGAGCGAAGAGTCGTGCCCGTGGTTCAAAGAGCCTGCACTGTTCTTCAATTGAGTAGTCCGAAATATTCCAAGTTCGCACCAAAACATCACCATGTGGCAGGCTACTGGAGTCTAAGCGAATCTAATCGGTATGGAACAACATTTAGAGCACTCGCATCACTCACTCTTCTCCATTTTGGCGACCCTGCTCTCCAGCGATCTGATAATTATATCAGCCTCGTCTGCAATAGCTGCTGCTTCTTCATCAGTCGGAAACTCAGTAGCGCTCACTCTTGACCGGCCCGCGCGGCCATTTCTTCAGCTGAATACCGAGGTTCTCAGCCCCAGACCGAACTCATGAAGGTCAGCCATGGCTGCATCCTCACTCTCACAAGGAGTTACAGGTCTTCGGGGTCGCTTGAACCACCTAATATCAGTCGCCAAATCATTTGAAATGACACTGACACTATTGCTTTCACGCACTCCTTTTGACCTAGCTGCACGCTATGACATTGCAGAGGGTGTCGTGGCCGCATGACGTCATGGCGCAGCCCCCGAAACTCAGTTTTTCAAACGGAAATATCTCGAGAACGCTTTGTCGGAGACACGTGGGACCAACACCATTCGACTCAGCGCCCGAAACTCTACCGACCCTGAAATTTAAATTTTTCACCGGACTTCCCCTTTGATAGCACGCGGCGGAGGTACATGGAAACAATAGAGGACCGTGCTTATATTAGAGATAATACGGTATACACAGTGCCTCAACTATGCAGCATGGACTGTTAAACATTACTGTGCACTGATCACAGCATACTAATGTGTACACAGTGCCTCAGCTATGCATGGACTGTTTGCGTGATAAGAATTGTCCAGGCTCGGAGCCCCCCCCCCCCCAGTTCTTTGGCACTGGGCAGTACTGTGACCATTGGGTATGAGCCAGTATTATCATACTGGCAACTGCAATAACGTTCCGTACAAGCTGCGGGAAATTTCGTTCGAGACTTTGCCTGTGCTCTTTGAAACACCTTCCTAAGCGTGTGCAGACTCCACTGTAGCCACTTCATGCTTCACACACACGGATATTATTTTTGGAAGAATTTGTAGCCGATAGACCGTTTTTGAGTAGTGGTGTATAACTGCGTGAAACTTTTTGAAACACCTTTCTATTCTGTTAATGCAGACGTTTAGACAGTAACATGATCTCGATGATTCCTAATGGGACGTTTCGTGGCCTGAAGAATTTAACAACACTGTGAGTTCTCGTTTGTAGCTCGACATTGTTGAGTTTTAATGTGACTCCTGTGTGAGCTCAATGTTCTCACGGCCGTCAACAATGCACAAGACCACATGGTAAATAAACGGAGGGGGAGGGGCATAGGACAGAGAAAAAAAGTAGGAGCTGGAAAAGTGGAACCATCTTCTTCAACTCAAGTGGAGTAATGCAGGAACTGTTAACCCGGGAATCGTTTGCGCTTTTTTTAGTTTACGAATAATTGTGATGACGGACCATTTTGCGCCTGCAAACGTTTGCGATTGGAGTCGATTTGATGATGGACTTGAGAGTCCACAGTTTCGTGTTTCGCGCCCCCCTTACTTTCGCGATTTCACACCCGTGGCGAAAATCACAAGCGTTTCAGGATCGCAAACGTTTCTGGGTCCACAGTGGTGTGAGATCGAGTGCGACAAAGAGACACTGTCAAGGCGAGACAGGGACAGACGGCGACAGACCGAGCGGGTGGGTGGGGGGGGGGGGGGCTAAATTTAATTTGGCATATCAGCATGCTGTGGTCACTGTCGATAAGGTTTGTGATAGCCTATTGGATGCACGCATCCCTTTCTCCTTCTTGCCGGCGCACACGGAGTTACGATGAGTCCGAGACCCTTGGTCGGAGGAGTTACTTCTGCCCCCGCCCCCACTTCCATCCAATATGCCACCACCCCCACTGTGCGGCATCTAGCATCTAATAGTTCTGTGATATTCATTATAAAGAAAAAAGAGAGACATGACTTGGCTCAAGCTTTCCGAAAAGTCCAAGATCGCCAGTTTCATCCGAGGGAAACTATAGTGCGTTTCAAAAGCGCAGAACTCTGGTTTCAAAAAACTGTTAGGCCAGCATCTATACCACATGAAATCTGTGATCACTTTGTGCATAAAATTTCCGAAATTGGGCGTTTGTTATCCAATCACTATTTATGAGAAAAGTTGCGGGGGCTGCCTGAGCAATATTCAGAAAGAATTTCTCAAAAAGCTTCAACCAATTTTGATTTACAGTCGTCCCTCTCTAATCCGGCACTTGTTTATCCAGAACCCTTGCAAACCAGCACATTTCCTGGCAAAACGGATTTTTTCAGTTCATTTTCTATGCTTTAATCCGGCACTTGAATTCCTGCTCCAGCGGCGATTTTCTGCAGGACTTGATAATCCAGCACCCTTGTTTATCCAGCCAGCAGAAAACGCCGCTGCAAAAGGTGCCGGATTAGAGAGGGACGACTGTATTCAAAAATGTCTTGAGGCCTATACTTTTGAAACACACTATATAAACATGTCTCCGACGTCGCCAGTGCTCTGTGCACTGGGTTTGTCAAAGCAGCAAGCGATGGAGACGGTACGCCCGCACACAGTGGCGGTCCGACAAAGCCAGTAGAGCATTTTTTTTCAGACTCACCAACACGGCTACCCAGGGTAGCCATGACCCGCCTTTCCGTTGGTCTCTGTTGTCCTCTTCATGTTCTCCCGGTTTCTCATTCCCGATTGGGTGGTCACGGGTGTCAGAAGGTAATTTAGTGTGGTACGGTCAGCCATCTGAAATACAATGTACGCGTGGGACAGGGGTGGCTGAGCCGAAAATTTTGGAAATTCAAAGCCCAATCCAGTGCATTTTTATTGATTCATGGGGTACTTGGGGCAAAGAGTGGTACGGTCAATACCGTAGTGATCGTACCGTGTGCGACACCCCTGCTTGTAGCGTTATTGAAGGTTTCAAAAAAAGACCAGCTCTGACTCTCTAGAAAAGTGTTCGCTCCCCACGCTCCCCACACACCGGAGATCGCGCGAGCTCCGGTGTGGGGAGCGACACTATCATTGTCCATTCTCCCTTCCTCCTACCCTCCTCACGGCTTTATTGCATTATGGCGCACTTTGTCTGCGTAAACGCCAAGACTTTTACCGTGGAAGTGTCTATTTCTTTCAGATGACTGTTCGTACCTTTCTGTTTCGTTTTGCGTATTGTGACTGCAGACATCTAGAAAGGAACCGACTTCGAACAATTCCATCCGGGGAATTTCAGGAACTGCCAAACCTAGTACAACTGTGAGTGTCTCGTTGCGAAGCCGTGTTCAGTTCTTACGCGCTATCGTCTGTGAATCTTACCCTTCTGGTGTGCAACCGGAGATGATAGAGTTCGGCCCATCCGTAATTATTAATTTTGTATATGGTCATGATGGTATTGGGGTTTGCTGTGTCATTTCTCCACAGCCTCCTTCTCCGCCCCAACCTCATCTCACAAGAGAGGTTCTGCTATACGTGAAACGTAGAGAAATCACGTAGAAAGCAGGTGTCTGGGTTAGAGTCTACGGCTTCGCGAGTTTTGGGTCCAGATTTCTACGCGTAGATGAGGTTCTCTACGTTGTGGCACACGCAAAGAAAATGCGTACGGATTTGCCGGGTATCATTCGAGTGCAAGCAGAAAACTGCCAAATATGGAAGGGGAAATTCCCAGTACACATTCCACGTGACTTCTCCACGTGAAACGTAGAGCAGAACAGGATTTCTTTAGGTTACGGGAACGCGAAGAGAGTTCGCAGGATTCTTTAGCGTCGCGTTCCCGAAACGTAGAGCAGAACCTCACTATTATTAAGCTCTCTAAGGTTCTATATTCTGCAAATCTGCTGCTCGGTGTGGTTGATAACTGTACTATCATGCATCATAACTCAAGGGGAAGCGTCCTCTGCTGCTCTGATGTATGGCTTTTACAACACTTACTGTCTTCTCGCTGCAGATATATGAATCACAATAAGCCGTTGCAGATTCAAACTCGTGCATTTCTAGGCCTGGGAAGATTAACGCATCTGTAAGTCCCCATTGAGGTTATGCTATGACGTCATCATTTTGATGTGCCTTGCCATTGAGGTTATTCGATGATGTCATCATTTTGAAGTGCTTTGCCATTGAGGCTATTCGATGACAACATCATTTTGAGGTGCCTTGCCATTGATGGGGATGTCAGCGCGTACACTGTGCATGCACTTCGCGCATGCGGCCAAGCGCGCATCAGATGTGGCATGCAGAATTTTTAGTTTTTTACCAAACAGAGTCTTCAACCAAGGAGAAATGGCTGAAATTTCCTTGCAAGGAAATGGTGGTTACAGGCTACCGTAAAAGCCCGTGTATAGGCCCCGGGCGTATAGAATAGCAGATGCGATTTCCTGGGCGTATACAAGGGCACGGGCGTTATTTCGGAACCGGGCGTATACTTGGAATAGGGATAGCAGTAAATATTGGGTATCGGTACCTGTACATGTACTGCTGTTTCCGGCATACCTGGGCGTATACACGGGCATGGGCGTTATTTTGAAACAAAAGTGTTGACTTCCCCTGACTGGGCGTGTACATGGAGGGTGGGCGTAATTTCGAGTGGGCGTATACAGGGGCTTTTACGGTACCTGCTTACCAGAATGGGATCCTGTTAGGTATGTTGGCGGCCCATGTGTTCTGGAATCGATTTGTAACATTCCTTGGAAAGCGGAAAGCCGTTTTCGTTCCAAACGACAGGGTTCATTCAGAGGTGAAAATGGCGACCATACCGATCATTGCCATGATCTCCGAGGTGAAAATCACTGGATTAAACCGGGAAAAAGCTCTGGATTTGATGGTAAACCCAACAGAAATACTTAATGTTGGATGTTGGGAGCTGGCAGGAAATTTGACCAAAGCATTCATGTTCCACGTGGCGCAAAAGGTGACCACGTTCGTTCTTGTGTATTTCTGCATTTCTGACATATCGCCGTCCATATGGCCGTTGTTACAGCGAGATCGATTGGTGTGGACAGGGTTTGTTTGAGTAGTCGCGTGGAGACGTGGTTTGGTTGTGACAGGCAGCACCGGGAGTGGCTCCCGAGGATGGCGAAAGCCGTATCTACTCCAAACCGACTTCACTATGGCCGATCTCCTGGCAGAGCATTTTCACTTAGGTGCTGCAACAAACGGCACAAGCTGTGGACATCGTCAGATGATATTAGCCTATCAGTGTGCCCAGAACCTCTACTGAAGCATTAGCTTGAGTAACATTTCTCTCTAGCTCTCTTTCTGTCTTTCTGCCGCTCTCGTTCTCTCTAAAAATGTTTAAACTTCAAAATCAAGGTGGAGCTGGGTCGGGGTATCGTCAAATACCGACTCTCTGAGCTGCGTTTTCGCCGGTTTTTGGCGATCGCCAATTTTTTCCAGTCTGCCATCGCCGAGTTTAAAAATCGATTACAGTCTGTATCGGCTATAGCGTACCCTTTTGATTTCCGTGATTTTATCACTATAACCCATGCATCACTATAATGCGATACGATCGATTTTTTCTTTTTTCGATTGACACATGAAAGGCAAGGAAATACTTCCAGCATGACGTTTTGACAAATGAGCATGCGGCATAGTTGACAGTGCCCGCATTTCCATAAAAAATTCTGTTATGTACGTGTACATGTATCACTATAAAAATAAGCAACGTGAAGAAAGTAAAAAAATAGGGCCTTTGATATTATTGCTACATGTATTTTAAAGTTATTACTATAACCGATAACAATAATAGTGTGTTATGCATGTTTTGATTCTTTGTTGCCATCATAATATCCGATCATTACATCCGATAATATTGGTTGTAGTGATATTTTTACTGGATAAAATACGTTTTGCTTTTGATATTTCGTACCAATATCACTGTAGCCGATATATTCTTATATCCGGTCACTCTATAGCCGATACAGACTGTACATCATTGACTGCGCAAAGCCCTGCGCATTGTCCGCGCTGATATCCCTACCCTTAAAGTTATGCCATGACATCATCATTTTGAGGTGCTTTGCCACTGAGGTTATGGAATGACGTCATCATTTTTAAAGTGTCTGTGATTGAGATTATGTGATGACATCATCAATTTTGAGGTGTTTTGCTTGCTGCACTGACTGCAGCACTGCTTTTGTGCACGCGCACATGTTGTCCAGGCGTCAGGGGCCCAGCCTCCCTGCCCATCCGACCCGCCACACACAACAACGAAACTGAACTGAGAGTTCTACATAATTTCTTGACAAGACGGAGACGGACGGACAAGAAGACCGGACACGGCGAGGTAAACTGATAACTGAAGAAAAAGACTAACATTTTTGGCAGCATACGAGCATGCGCGCAACAAAACACAACGTATGACAATGACGTAACCGTTACTTGGATCATGTACAAACTATACATGCAACCAAAACCAGTCAAATACGAGTCAAAGCAGAACGCAAAACAAACCAAAATAAACGAAAGGACCACAACAAAATGAGCCTTGAAAAGTCTTTCTACCGATACACAACATATTCCCCACCAAAGACCTTTTCAGGGCTCAACGAGGACCGCGAACACTGTGCCCTACGAGTATACGCCGCAAGCGTACTAATCAAACTAACTACAAAAGGCAACAAATAAACAAATAAACGATCGACACGCCAACAAAACTCCAACGAAAGTCAACGTCCGACCAGGGACAAACAAATCAAACTCAAACAAATCGAGCAAAACAAACTAATCAAACAACTCGAGCAAACCGAACTACCAAACTCAAACTAACAAACAACTCGAGCAAAACAAACTAATCAACAACTCGAGCAAACCGAACTACCAAACTCGAACTAACAAACAAATCGAGCAAACCAAACCACTCAAACAAATCGAATCAAACTAATCAACAAATCACAGCAGGAGCACCTTCCAAACTCTGCGTCACACTCGCATGGGGTTATTTGTTCACGATGCGTTTTCCTTCGCACCGTCCTTGTCGTAGGAACCAACCACTCCTCGCAGACGTTTATCCATCTTCATCTGCCCTCAGCGCATTCAGCTCCAACGACTTCCGTCGCACCAACCTCGTCGTCTTCACCAGCCACCTCGCGGGACGTCCCTGCCCTCAGCGCATTCAACTCCGGCGGACCAGCCACTCCTCGCAGATGTTTATCCATTTCATCTGCCCTCAGCGCATTCAGCTCCGACGAGCCAGCCACTCCTCGCAGACGTTTCCTCGCTCAGCGCCTTCAGCTCAGACGACGTCGTTTTGGTGATTTGTTCTCGATGCGTTTTCCTTCGCACCGGAGTTCCTTCCAGTTCCTCGTCTACCTGACAATCCTGGCGTGATCGCCAAATTTTGTGCACTCGCACATGTTGTCCAGGCGTCAGGGGCCCAGCCTCCCTGCCCATCCGACCTGCCACACACAACAACGAAACTGAACTGAGAGTTCTACATAATTTCTTGACAAGACTGAGACGGACAGACAAGAAGACCGGACACGACGAGGTAAACTGATAACTGAAGAAAAAGACTAACATTTATGGCAGCATACGAGCATGCGCGCAACAAAACACAACGTATGACAATGACGTAACCGTTACTTGGATCATGTACAAACTATACATGCAACCAAAACCAGTCAAATACGAGTCAAAGCAGAACGCAAAACAAACCAAAATAAACGAAAGGACCACAATAAAATGAGCCTTGAAAAGTCTTTCTACCGATACACAACAACTGCCTCCAGAACGGAAAACTCGCAGTTCTGGTTTAAAGAGGATCATCGCTCCCCTGCCATGTCAGGCTGTCGCCGCAGATGTGCCTCGAAGCAGCATTCTTGGCCCGGAAACGTTTCCTTTTGTATGAATATGGCTCGAATGAGTGCTTGCTTCCCAAAACATGTCTACGTTTAAAATGCACATTTTTTTGTTCATTTGTGCGGTATCGAATCAATGCTTTGTTGTGCCGTTTGACATCTTGTGGCTACAGGCATTTACAAAATAGCGGCATCCCAGAGATTCTGCCAGGGACGTTTGAGGGTCTGGCAAACCTGCAGGAGCTGTAAGTGCAGTATCAGGGACGTCGAAAGGTATTTTAGTGTGGTATGGTCAGCCATCTGAAGTAAAGTTTACTCGTGGGGGGGGGGGGGGGATGGCTGAGCCGAAAATTTTGGAAATTTAGAGTCCAGATCAGTGTATTTTGTTGATTCACGGAGTACCTTGGGCAAAAAGTGGTACAGTCAATACCGTAGTGACCGTACCGTGTGCGACGCTCCTGAGTATGTATACAATGCAAGCCTTGCCTGTTAGATAACATTTTCTGACGGTGACAGCGTGAACAGGCACTGTTTCCCAGTGTGTCCTCGCCTTGTTCACGCTGTGGCCGTGAACATCTTTTTCTCTTTCTTTGCTCACCTATTGCTCATCACTTCTTTTACAGATTTGGTATTATGGAAAGTTTGGAAACCCCCTCGATAGGCGAAAGCCTTTGGGGAATCCTTTTAAACAATAAAAATTACAAAATATAAAAACCAAAAAAACCCCAAGCGCAGTATGTGTAGTTTGTGGCACGTAAAAAGTACTTTGTCGCACGTAATGTCGCAGTAATGTAGTTAGTGTAGGGATGTCAGCGAACGCACTGCGCACGCCTCTGCGCATGCATTGCGTCATCGATTTTTTGAACGTGATCGTGGCCGACAGAGAAAACATGGCTGCGGTCTGTTCGTACTGTTCTTCTGTCCCCGCGACCATTCAAATCATACGTGATACGGAGGACCCATGTACTCACCACGTTCTCCCCGGTCGATTTCTCTGAAAGTTTGCACATCGTGAAACACCAGTATGAGAGGTGTTCAGGCCAATTTTCATGGGATTACCCTGGTTGGATCGTTCCAAAATCGGACCTGCATTTCTCGCGGCCATTTCTTGCGCGATGGAAGCGCCCTGCCCTGGTGAGTAACCAGCATCGCGCTTGGTAGAGAGTTGCTGCAATCAGCTCCCTGATGTCTTCACTGCCATTGTCAGAAGCGATGGACCATGAATTTGTTTGAGAGTCTCTGGATTCTACTTTTCCTCAGCCTAGTTTTCAGCCATTCCGTGCATCTTCTTCGCACGATTTCTTTTGCAAAAAATGAAAGTGTTCATGAGTTTTCTTGTCGGCCGCGCGTAGATGGGCCAGGCTGACCTGCGCAGATGGGCTGCGCAGAGCGTTCGCTGATATCCCTAGTTAGTGTGTGTTAGCATCCACCGATCACACTGCCATGTTTGCATTTGCCGCGCACCGCTGCATCAGTGCTTTGCGCACTGGTGTCACACTGCCAGCGCGTAGATTTGGGGCGCGCTTAGCCTGACGTCACACAACTGCTTCCGTGTTGCCTTGGACTGGGTATGAGTGTGTGAGGGATATAGTGCTACTGACTATAAACATAAATAGTACGCAGTAGGACATCATGGTAAGATGTGAGCATACTCACACTGCCTTTGTCTTCTTCTCCTCCATGTGACAAAAGGAACAACAGCTTACAATCCGCAACCATGCGCGTTGAGAGTGTTGAGAGATGAGTGTTACGTATGTGGTTCGCTGGTCTCGTAGCGTCTATTTTCTGCTCCTCTCGTGCGCATTTCCGGGGGTGATGCAGAGAGCCTGTTGCCGCCCTCCTACCCTGATTGAGCGCCCGCCTCTCTGTGAGAAAGTGGCCTAATCAGGGTAGGAGGGCGGCAACAGGCTCTCTGCATCACCCCCGGAAATGCGCACGAGAGGAGCAGAAAATAGACGCTACGAGACCAGCGAACCACATACGTAACACTCATCTGGGTAGATGCTTCGTATCCTCCTGACAGAGGTGGACAGTTTCCACATCATTAAAAAAATGGCCGAATCCGTCGCAACTTCGGAGCCAGCGTAAACGTGTCGTCAATTGTCTAAGTGTGAAGATGGCACGGGGCTGGGGGGAGCAGGAAGGCTGAAGTCGGTTTACAACAATTGCGTGCATTGAAACCATTGTGCATTGAAATCATTGTGCTTTTTGTATCATTCAACACCTGTCCCGACTGTAGGAATTTAGCAAGAAACAGTATCACGCGGGCTGAATCTGGTGCATACCGGGAACTGACAAAGCTACGAAAGCTGTGAGTGTCTCATTGCTCGTCAAACATTATTTGAGCTTCACGTGACATCTGTTGGAAATCCTCACTTTACTGTGTGCTATAAGTTGATTGTAGAGAGCAATGTCTGCTGCAGGATTTCAAACCAACCGGGCACACGTGTACCTGGAACAAGCCTTGCAGCCGGATCAGTCGCCGGTACACTCAAGACTCAAGTGCGGCTATTGTACGTCAGCGAGTCTTAGGACGTCCAGATTGAGTCCCAACCGGGTCACAAGATAGTGTGACCCCTTGTTCTTTTACCAAGCGGGTCCAAGTACCCCCCCCCCCCTCCCAACCGGGTCGCTGACCCGGCTGACCCGGATCTGGAGCAGACACAGAAGAGCTAGGTCCCTTCATGATCAACCATAGTTTGTCGACATGGTCGTAGAACGTCCGCACTGTTGGTCAGTGTCGTGCATTTGCATTGCATGAGCTGATGGTCAAGTATAGACTGGTGGTGTTCGCGGACTCTACAGCGTATTTGCAGGTCCTTGGTCTTTTTCTCCCCTATAAGTTGATCCTTGGCTCTCCACCCGAGTCTATAATGATATCTGTGCATTTCTGTCCAGCTCCACCCCTCCCCACCGTTGAACATACACATTTTTACGGAGGGGGGTCAATAATAATGTGTTTGAAGTGGCATTTTATAAGTTTCCTTTTGAAATGCAGCTACGAGCAACTCAGCTTTCCCTCACAAATGCAGCTACGAGCAACTCAGCCTTCCCTCACAGTGCATGTTTTTCGAGACACGACGAAGTTCGTTGTTCATTTCCCCTCAAGTTGTTCGTGCCCGATTTCTTGCTCGCAGGGAAAGTGCATTCTTTCTCTGAGATTTTTTTCTGCATCGAAACTATTCTTGTTGTGACATTTATGTCGTGCGACTATAGAGATGAACTCGGATGGTGAGCCAATTTAGCTATGGTAAAACCGACTGTATATGATCTGTATGATCTGTATTATGATCCGGTTACATTGGTGGACAGTTACCGTATTTTTCCGGTTGTAAGTCGACCTTTTACGACTAAAAATAGAAGGAGAAAGGGTGGAGGTCGACTTACAACCGGGATTCGACTTATAACCGGGAACTATCAGAATCTTACAAGAAATGACCTGCCCTGCATGCATGAGTGCACCATGTGCACACATGTTTGCCAGTTTATTGGCCTTTTTCAAGGATTGGGACGTTATACCCTCCAATAAGGAATGTTTACATGATTTGTTGATGTGTTAGTAGCAGGGAGTGGTTGGTAGTGCTTCGTTGGGTGAAAACTTTAAAACGCAGAATTGAGACCTCCGGATACGGGGGTCGACCTATAACCGGGGTCGACCTATAACCGGGGTCGACCTATAACCGGGGTCGACCTATAACCGGGGTCGACCTATAACCGGGGTCGACCTATAACCGGGGTCGACCTATAACCGGGGTCGACCTATAACCGGGGTCGACCTATAACCGGGGTCGACTTACAACCGGTAAAATACGGTAGTCATAACTTGCAACATTTTGTCCTTCTCCTTTTTTTGCCATGCCTATAGAGATTTGGGGAAAAACAAGATTTCGGTGATTGTACCCGGCGCATTTCAAGGACTGGCGCAACTCACTACACTGTAAGTTCATCCATGGTGCTGAGGGCGGTGTGGCGTCATTTGGAAAGTTCTTGTTCACCCACGGTGTTGAGGGCGGTGTGGCGTCATTTGGAAAATTCTTACGTAACCCCGCCCCCCTGCACACACACACACACACACATATACACAGACAGACACTCGTGCGCACACACACACCCTCACACACTCGTGCACACATACCCAACAGGAGGAGGGGAGCACTGAGCCGTCAGTGGGTGCAATACTTTTCTCGTTAAAAATCTTCTGGACACTTCTGCGGCATTGGGGGGTGGGTGTGTGTGGGGTGGGGTGTGGGTGGGGTGTGGGTGGGGTGGGGTGGGGTGGGGTGTGGTGGGGTGGGGTGTGGGTGGGGTGGGGTGTGGGTGGGGCGGGGTGTGGGTGGGGTGGGGGGATGGGGTGGGGTGGGGTGGGGCGGGGTGTGGGTGGGGGGGGGGGGGCGGGGGGGGGGGGAGTATAAGTATGAATGTTGCACCGTTAGTGTGACTTGTTTCCTAAGTCCCGTCTTATTTTGGCCCCATTTCCAGGTGTACCCCAGTTCCAAGGTGTCCTGGAGTTGTGTTGCAGATCTGGCCACTGTTGTTCATGGACATGGCATTCCCCGAACTGTCTTTGTCTTGCCGAGTGCATCCGGATATGTACGAGCATGCACTGTATCGTAACATGTAGTGGACAATTCTTTTGTTCGTCCTCTAGCTTGAGTCTAGTCATGTGGTCATGCTGTCATGTATAAATATGCCCATTGCGCAATGGCGCCAACACCCCACGCAGTCACCTGAGCATGATGGTCTGGGGTGTTGAACAGTGGTGCATTCCTGATCCCAGCGTACTCGCGTGCATTACTCCAGCAATCCCATATTTGGCACTGTGCAGTGGGCGTATTGCTGTGTTCGTGTAGTTCTGCCAATAAATATGACGTGGGGACCAACTTCGGCATAACATTCCTCTGTGTTCCCGCAACACGGGGTACAGATTGGCCGTGATTCCGTTTCAGTCGTGCAAAAATCCTTCTGCATGGTTGTTGTAGACCCCTAATGAAACCAATATGCAAAATTTGAGTGAAATTGAAGAGATTGACTGGCCTGACTTTTCAGATTTTCTCGGACCATGATACTTTTTGTTCACATTGTCTTTCGATACAGGTACTTATCTGCTAACGACATTTCAAATATTCTGCCCGGGACCTTTCGAGGGCTAGTGGCATTACAAGTGGCGTGAGTTCCTGTGGTGGTCCCACTGAACTGTGTCTTGATATGTGCATGATTCATGGTGTAATTTATGTCTGGTCTCAGTCATTGATAATAAAAAAATTATAAAAAAAAATTCGACGGGTTCGCGTACCGGGCAGGTCAAGAACAAGGAGTCGTACAACTCCCTGGTCAAGAACCACCTTTCCGCTTCCGTGGGACGCCACCACCCCATGATCAGGCGCCAGATGTGGCTTCTAAACGGTTTAGTCATTGATAAGCTTTCAGTAAACTGCTAATATTCAGTAAACTGCTAATATTCAGTAAACTGCTAATATTCAGTAAACTGCTAATATTCAGTAAACTGCTAATATTCAGTAAACTGCTAATATTCAGTAAACTGCTAATATTCAGTAAACTGCTAATATGCTAGAAACATAGTATATGCACTGTCTGTACTTTCTACACATACTCTCCCCCATATTCGGCATGCCCAGAGTAGTGCCATGTGTTCGACCAGTGACATAGGTCTCATGTCATACTGTATGGCAGGAAATTTTCGGACGGAAATGTTTTCGGACACGGCCGAATTTCGACCTTTCGTACGGATTTTATTTTCGTACAGTGGTGCATGCTAAATGCACTTGTTTGCATGCGGTACGCATGTATAGTGTACATAACTTCGCAGGAACAAATTTTAGAACGGAATTAATTTTAGTACGAAAGAGGCCGTGTACGAAATCGTACGAAAATAAATTCCGTCCGAAAATTTCCTGCTGTACAGTACTTGTTTTAGCTACATTGGACATATTTGCGCTGGCTTGCGCAAGGTTGAGGAGATCGAGACAGACAGCCTCGGACAGACGGACAGACAGACAGACTGTACTTATGGTAGTAAGTACAGCTGCAGTGGTATCTTCAACTTCGTTCTCCCGAGTCAAACTCCGTATGAAGACATCCAAGGAGAAGATTGCCTGATGAGCCCAGCGGGGACGAAACGTACGTCACAATCGAGCTACCGTAGAATCCCGCGGATAAGCCCATGGGCTTATCTGTTTCAGAAGGACATTTCGGTGGGCTTATACAAGAACATGGGCTTATACGCGGGCATGGGCTTATACGCTGACACCAACATTGTGCTTTGAAAAGTACCAAGGAAGTGAGAAGTACATTGCTGAAAGCCACTGTGCAAACAAAAACAACCGATGATTTTGTTGAAATGTACAAAAAAAACAAAAAAACTACATGCACTACGTATACGCACATCATACATGTCCTTGGCACGACCAAGAGTCCATAATTTATGGACTCTTGGTACGACTTAGGCCCGTGTGAAATAGTGTTCTCCCCCTGGCCCCGCCACACAGCAACGCAAACTCTTTATCGTATCTCAACTCTTATACCAACAAATGACGAGGGCGCAGGAGGAGAGAGACAAAAACAAGACTCGAGAAAAAGACAACGGAAAAGACACGAAGTAAACAACAACGAACAAGCAGTAATAAACCGACGACAAATCTGGACGACCAATCAGGGACTAATACGTACAGAACACGTGACCAAGACCAAGACAACCAGACCACGGACGAATCACACATGACTCTCATTCCCAGACCACTAGCACTGCGCATGTACAGCATTCACTTGACAGTCACTCTCGCACAGACGGAAGCAGATCTTCACACTCTGACAACACGTACTCTTGCATGTGTAACGGTAGCCGAGTGGTAGGCGCGGTGAAATCAACAAGAATTAGTTTTATTCTACTTCTTTCAGGTACACACCTGAAATATAATTATTAGTGAAAGAAGAAGCGGCAAAATAACTTTCTCTCCGGTGCAAACCTGGAGGTTGAATAGTTCGTTATTATCAAAATCACATCTAAACAGAAATGCGCAGCAGCTTTTATGCAGCAGACGCCGTACGCTTACATACGGAGATACACTAACTATACATCAGCCAAAGCTCCGTATTAGTTCCGTACTACTTCCGTATTGGTCGGGCAGGGATACTACACCCTCCCTTCCTACAGATTATCACGCCCTCGTGATTTTCAAAAAGATTAGTGAAGAGTTACGAACACAGCGTCAACCGGAAGATGGCAAATTATATCGGAAATGATAACGTTTAGAGTAGACAGAAGAAATGAACTGATAACAAATCATAAAGTAGAAGCACACCAGGTTCACACGATCTCTCGGGGTCAAAAGGGGAAAGAACTGTCCTCCAAATAGGACCTGAAAATCCACAGCACTCTTGCTGCACAACGCTGGCACAACCCGCCAGGAACATCGCAGTTCAAAAACCGAACTGAATACACTATAACTATAAGGGGCGTTGTCACACACATTGTCCCACGTTAGCTGGGTAAACCGTGGCTCACCATGATCAGACGCCTACCAAACTAAACTGGATTCACACACTCGCATAAAGGAAGACTGAAGAGAATAGGAAGACTGAAGGAAGACAGGAAAGAAAAGGCCATACCTGGAATCAGCATCAGTAACCACGGCGGCGGCTGGAGCGACGTCGGAGGGCGAGCCAGGTTCCATCTCGGTTGAGCCGGTCACTCAGAGCGGCTAGCTCGGCGTCAGACAAATGACCTCCCTCCTCGTCTTGAATCGTGGTCTTCACATTGTCGACAGCATCGCTTTGCGCGACGTAAAGAGTGATGGTCTAGCCAGGAAGAGTGTTGACGAAAATCTGCATCAAACCACGGAGACGAAGTACCAAGTGAAAAATGGGCTCCTGCTTCCGACTGCGTGCCGGCGAAAATCAAACGCTGCTGGTCTTGGGGAATACCCTCCTTGTCTTGGGCACCGTCCTCATCAGCTTCGCCATCACCACCGGTAGTATACATGTAGGTAGCGGGTCGCTTGGAATCGCCATCGGAGTCTCCAGTGTGTGCCGTGCGGAAAGAAGGGTGATCCACGCTAGCACCCTGACTGTGCTGCAGGCTAATAAGCAGGGCCAGGCCCAGGAAGGCAAGAAACATGATTCTCATCTTGATTCGTCGCACGGAGCTGCAGCGGGTTGAGCCATGGGGGTCTGGGGTCGAATCACGTTGTTTTATTTAAAAAATACACCGCTGCCACCAATGTAATGGGTAGCCGAGTGGTAGGCGCGGTGAAATCAACAAGAATTACTTTTATTCTACTTCTTTCAGGTACACACCTGAAATATAATTATTAGTGAAAGAAGAAGCGGCAAAATAACTTTCTCTCCGGTGCAAACCTGGAGGTTGAATAGTTCGTTATTATCAAAATCTCATCTAAACAGAAATGCGCAGCAGCTTTTATGCAGCAGACGCCGTACGCTTACATACGGAGATACACTAACTATACATCAGCCAAAGCTCCGTATTAGTTCCGTACTACTTCCGTATTGGTCGGGCAGGGATACTACACATGCACCACATACCATAAACGTCACACATCACACCATACTCGCACGTACACTTAGACCATATATGACATCAGACACTGGACTCTACAGGACAGGAACCAAATACAACAACATGCGTAAATCATAAAAATCCGCAACACATGGGCTTGTACGACGAAGCCTTGTGATGTTCGTACTTTCCCTGGGCTTATACGCGGGTGGGCTTATCCGCGGGATTCTACGGTATGTCGTTGCTGTGTCATCCTCTATGTGCCATGCGCTACCTGATGTACCAGCCTGCTATGTCGGATACCGCCAGCCATGCATCGACTAGGCGCCGGGCGCGAATTGATGGCGGTGGTGGTGAGAAGGAGAGCTCTGTGCCAGAACTTCGCAGCCTAGAGAGCGTGTGTGTGCAGGCGTGTATTTACCACCATACTGCCAGGTGTGTCTTTACCACCATATTCAACCATAGGCACAGCTGCAGTGGTGTCTTCAGCTTCATTCTGTATTAGTTTTAGATCTAATAATGTTCACTTTATGGTACCATAAATATCTTTCCTTTGTTGTCCAACTCTCAGTGTGATGACGATTTCTGATGATTATCACATGAAACAACGTTCAAATCATAAACTATTGTTCCATTGTTCTCGTGGTATGAGTGCGCTCACTTTACTGTGCGATATAAACAGTTTTCAGGTATCCTTTAGATTCTCGGTCACCAGGTTTGCACCTATCGATGTGGTCCTAACAGGAATTGTAATTGCACAGTATGTAGTGGTGTCGGGGTCCCAACGCATCCCAACACTCAACAGAATACTTTCAGTTATAGTTACATTACATTGTATTACTGGAATGGAAAGCCATCTTTGTCTCCAACCAAAGCAACAACTCGCGGAGCAACCAAAGAACAACTAAACTGAAAAGAAGAACCACATTGTTGCGAATTTGTATTACGACTATGATTTACGCATGTCGTTGTATTTGGTTCTTGTCTTGTGGAGTCCAGTGTCTGATGTCATATATGGTCTAAGTGTACGTGCGAGTATGGTGTGATGTGTGACGTTTATGGTATGTGGTGCATGCAAGAGTACGCGTTGTCAGAGTGTGAGGATGTGCTTCCATCTGTGAGAGAGTGACTGTCAAGTGAATGCTGTACATGCACAGTGCTAGTTTGGTCTGGGAATGAGAGTCGTGTGTGATTCGTCCGTGGTCTGGTTGTCTTGGTCTTGGTCATGTGTTCTGTACGTATTAGTCCCTGATTGGTCGTCACGGTTTGTCGTCGGTTTATTACTGCTTGTTCTTTGTTGTTTTCGTGGAGTCTTTTCCCGGGAGTCTTTCCCGTCGTCGTTTTGTCTTCACAAAGTTTATCTCTCTCCTCCTGCGCCCTCACCATTTGTTGATAGAATATAAGTATTGAAGATACAATCAAGAGTTTGCGTTGTTGTGTGGCGGGGGCCAGGGGGAGAAGACTACTTCAACATGGTTTTAAAACCAATACACAAACCCGGCCCGTATCGCGTATGCCAGCGACACATGCATGAAAGCAAGTACAGAATCCAGAAAAGTAGCTTGCATGAAAAGTGCGTAGCGCTCACACCTGTATGCTAACCCGCACTACAACTCGCGTACTATACAAGGGACTAGTACTGCGCAATACGCAGTACAGCGCAGTAGGCACGCATTCAAATAAGCTATAGACATGCACTGCGTAAATCTCCAAGTACTCGTACAAACTGTGCAGTGCTGCAAAGGTACAAATAAATAATTTCATTTTTTTCACGGTTCGCGTGAAACTCGGCTGGAAACCGAGTTTTCCGCATCCGTAGGAACGCCACCACCCTTCAATGATCAAGGCGCAGATGCAGCTCCTGAAGCGGTGGGAGGTGAGTAGCAAGTGGTCAAAGCCCGAAAATCCCATTCACTGCATCCATGTGATGCCTCGTGCCAGGCCACGAGTTCCCAATTAACTGTGGGTCGCAGCACGGCTGGAAAAAATCCTTCCGCTTCCAAGCAGGACTTGAACCTGGTACCCTCTTTTTCTCAATCATGGTCTTAGACCATCCCACTATGCCTGCCTGCATAGTGGGAAATAAATAAATATCAAACAAATATCAATGTGCAGGTCAGCGACAGTATGAGCGAAGTATAGTATGAATATCCAGATCTGAAAGGTAGCCTTATGTAGTTCTGCGCCGTATCAAGAAAACCGCATTTTAATGTTGGATGTACTGTGTAAAGAGATGTAGGTACCGTAGTAACGCACAGTATAGGCGCATGGGCCTGTATTCGGATATAAGCGCACTCTCACTTATAAGCGCATGCTCTTATAGGCGAAGCACTACCAACATTCTCATAGTGACACAATCACAGATAAAAGTCTGAAAAACAGCATACAGGAACCATGAAACTCACACTACAAGACCTAGTCAAACACAAAGACTCTGGCAAACAAACTCTGATCGCGCCTGCGCGTTTAGGTGAAACATTTTCATTTTAGAAAATTGGTTTCGTCAAAAATTCACATATAAGCGCATGTGTTTATATGCGCGTTAATACGGTAAGTACAGTGATTCGAAGAGCCACAAATCTGCCGGATGAAGATTTTTGGCTGAGTTTTTTTTCGCACCCTCTTCTGTGTGTTGCTTAAAGGGGAACTGTCACCAAATATTTTCTTTGTCTTATCTTGTAGTTCCTTGGCTCCTGATCATGATGGTGTTATTCGTTTTTCTCTGCGATGGCTGGAAGTGGGTGAACACTTGAAAAGAAGGTGCCCAAAATTGTCCCGAAGTACCGAGTGACGTCACGCCGGACCCGACCTCCACGCGTACATTCGTCGTCAAAAACGAAGTCCAGCCCGTGTGCTACGTGCTGGTCGATCGAGCTAGCTGTTCCGATGTACGGTGCACGTGTGCCTTTTGAACTCTAACACAGATGGGTACGTCGTACCGAAGGAGAATGCCAAAGAGGCAGAGACCCACGTGAAGCTACACAGCCAAATCAAAATAAAAAGCAGCTGAGCTTTCACCTTTTTGACTTCTTCCGCGAGGATCTAAGTTTTATTTTGTGAGCACGGAAGTACGTCGTTGTTTTGAACTTTTCGTGTGAGGAACAACACGATGATGAGCGCGTATGCAGAAAACAGTATTCCTCCGGCCGGCGATAACACCACCAACCCGAGCCCCAAAGGAACGCAATGTAGCTACGTGATGGCAATTTATCTGGCAATGTTGCTGAAGATGCAGATGACAAACTCCAACGTCTTTCATTTCAGAGCCGGGTGGGCAACACCGCCACCTTCGATACAACGACATAATTTTCAAGCACGGGGTATGTGTGTCACACTAACAGCAAACAAACATCCTTCCACTCCCTCGTAATCACAAATAAAACAAAGAGCTGAAGCTTCGTGGAGGAAGTACCAGTGGCAGTGCGACAAAACTGCTGTCGACTTCTGTTTGTTTTGTCCCTTTTTGGCGTTCTCATTGTGTACAACGTACACATCAGTGTCCAAGTTCAGAAGGCAAGCGTGCACCGTACATTGAACAGTTGGCTCGATCGACCAGCACACGGGCTGGACTTCGTTTTTGACGATGAATGTACGCGTGGAGGTCAAGTCCGGCGTGACGTCACTCGGTACTTCCGGACAATTTTGGGGACCTTCTTTTCAAGTTTTCACCCACTTCCAGTCATCGCAGAGAAAAAAGAATAACACCATTGTGATCAGGAGCCAAAGAACTACAAGATAAGACAATAGAAAATGTTTGGTGACAGTTCCCCTTTAAGCGTTTCTCTGCACCTCTGCTTGCCCTTTCTCCAGATACCTGAAGGAGAATACGAACTTGGTAGTGGACCACGCGCTGTGTCCGCTTAGACACGCACATTTAGATGTACCAGGTATGAACATGTCAGTGCTATCTGATTACGCTATAGTCCATTTCAAAAACATTACCCCTTTGCATGCTGGGCCCCTTTTCTCCAATCCACATATTTTCCAGCGCACTGACTCTCTTGGAGGAGTTTGCGGGCACAGCTCCGAACGAAACATATTCTGATTTCACTCCACCTTGATGGATTTCCATCATCTTGGGCTCGTTTTCTCCCCATTGTCAGAGTAAATTGCATCGCAGTTCAAAGAAACTGTTTGGTCTCAAGCCGGGACCCATGCCGAGTTTCAACATTTACCATGCTTTTGACATGTCCTCCGTGACTCCGTATCGAACAAGACTTTGTTTGTTGTAAACCAGACGTTCCTACGTGAGTGAGTTACTAGTAGTCATGTGTGCGTGCGTGCGTGCGTGCATGTGTGCGATGTCGTAAAATAACCTTGAGGTGCAAGAGGGTAGATACTCTCGGGCCTCCACTTGTCTAACTCCGCTGCCTGTCTGCCTGTGCTTTTCCGCCTAGGCCCGAACGATACGTATTGCCAAATGAACTGCAACACGCTCAGTCAGACCGCAGCATGTGGAAGCACTCAGGCACACTGCAGCGGAACTCTTGAGAATTACGCATGTTTGGGTGAGTTTTTCTTAGTGCCGTTTCGTATGTCTTCCCGGGACTATAGCACAAGTGTAGTTGCGCTATACGGGAGGTGCTCACATCCTGGTCATGTGACATCCTGGTCATGTGACATCCTGGTCATGTGACATCCTAGTCGTGTGACTAAATTTGTGTGCAGAAAAGTTCAGGGGTCGCACTTGTGTACTTAGACATCGCAGCCATTTTTGATTCATCACGCACGCAGCACGTGCGCGTCAGGGTCGTGCAGCCAATCAGAGTTACGGAAAATTCAAAATATCGCAATATTTGGGCGATTTGTAAGGGGTTCCTTGGCAGCCGTTTATCTAGCTACGGCGTCGAAAATCGCAGGGCTGCTTTGACGGCTAAGTAGCGGACATCTATCGAAAGAAATTTTGAAATCGGTCAAGTAGAAGGGAAATCCGTGTGTAGGGCTGACAGTAAATCTATGTCGTTGAGGAAAAATTTGATTCGGTAGATTTACGGAGGAGATTCTAATAAAGAAAATGAGCTCTCGATCATCGAAATCGGAGAAGAGATGGCTGCCAAGGAACATTTTGAAGACTGCATGCACTGACGGCCCGGCGCGAGCCGCTCGCGCGATCGCGCAGTGTCGGAAAGTACAATGTCATGTACTTGGACTGCCTTCGAGTATTTGGTGTGCGGACGGGATCAGAATGATCTGCCTGCTGCAACGCTTTGCCCTGTGTCTTTGTTTTGGAACAATGTTCATGTACATGTACATTCATTGCTTTCCTTCTCCAACTCGGCGATGCCGCGTTGCTGGACCATGAAGACTCCAAGACCAACTCAAGCCGACACAGTGCGATTGTGATGTTTGAGTCACAGGTATCATACAAGTGCAGTCCGTGCAGTACGAAAAGTACCGATACGAGTGACATAAAACAAGGAAACCATACCGTCAGTAAGTCCCGATAGGATCGCTTTCCGTAGTAGGTGTACTCGTTGCTGGAATACTCCTTGCGGATCGAAGCAACTTTGCAAACAGAACGTCTTCCTCCTGAGAAATACTCCACTCGCATGATTCCCACGGTCGTTGTTCTGAGTATTGACACGCGAATTCAAAGCGGGAATACTTGCGCGCACGCCTTAGACTTCCACTTACCAGTAAGTTTGCTGTTGTGACTTACAACTAAATGAAAGTCTATTTTGAAAGGAGAACGGGGAAAGAGAACATCGCCGTGTCAAAACAAGAACGGTATCAGTGAACAAGAAACTCTGTTCACAGAAATCTGCAGCCAGTGCAGGTCTTGATCATACGTAGCTTTGTAGCGCTTGTACAGTTTTGTATGCAAACAATGCATTGAGAACCACACACGTGATCCAAAAGAGCACGCGTCGCGCATGCAGTCAAAAGCAAGATGGCCGCGATGTCGAGAGCTGATCATGATACCAAGTGCGACCCCTAAAGTTGTCATGTGGACAGTGGAGAGCCAACATGGCCGACATCACGTGACCCACAGGTGCAGGGCCCGCAAGCCCTGCAGGGGATGAGTGGAGTTGGAACCAACGTGACTGTCCTGTGATAGATGTGAGACCACTCTTTAAGGGGGGGGGGGGGGGGTTCTCTAGTCAAGGGCCTTTCTAGGAAGCGCAAGATTGTCAAAATTGATAAAGCGACAGGCAAGTTATGATCAAAGAGTTGGTGGACAAGCCGTTGATTATTCACTCTCATTGTAATATCAAAAAAGTATTCTTTCTAGAGCAAAGAGTGGTATATTTGATAAAATTTAATATCGATAGAAATATTTACGATACTTCTCCAGACGTTTCGTTGTTCTGAACATCGTCGGTGGATAAAGAATGAATGCTTTCTTTATCCACTGACGATGTTGTTCAGAACAACGAAACGTCTGGAGAAGTATCGTAAATACTTCCTCCGCGTCATCGAAATTGTCGCAGTTTGACTTTTGACATAAAGCGGGGTATTTACTCACCAGCACTCGTACCAAAGGCAAGGAATCGGACATAGGCAATAGTCATCAGTATAGGGTGACGGCAACGTTCTATTTTCTGTTATTGGAAGCTGAAATTTTGAACTAGACGCAATTTCTTCGCTGATGTCGCTGCGATGGTAATTTCGACTCGCTGAGATCAGTCAGGCGTTCCAGCCTGCACATTTCTCATGCTTATGGCCATTCACTCAAGCCTCGTCACTGTCTTACCTTAGCTGGGGTGAGAATGACTTCGTAGAACAAGTAGCAGCGCTTGGAGAAACATCGAGGGGTCAGCAAACTAAATGCATGCAACAGCGATAAAATTTGTCGCTCTGGCTGAGACACTCAGCACATGATTGTACCTGCAAGAGCCGTGTAGACTCTACACGAAGTGCTAGTGATGCACATGCAGGTGCCGTACCAGTGATGCTGAAAAAGAGGGCGCGCTGGACGTGATAGTACACTTACCTGCATGAACTGTGACCACACAGCTAAAATAAATCGGCATGCCACGGCAAAAAAAAGTTCATTTCAAGATCGAGGTGATTCCCCCGACGGTAATCAATCGACCTCGCAACGATCGTGTATTCTTACTAGGCTTCGTTGGTGGTGAAGTAGAAATCATCCAGAGCTAGCAGACGACAAGCATATCAGCTCTTGTCCTGTGGAGAAAGTCAAAGCGTCTGAGATGAAGCACGATCAACTTTCAACCTTCCTTGAAATATTTCGGAACGATATTTTTGCGTCCATTGACATCAGCGACGACGAGGACTTCATCTCTGCATGAAAACTCTCAGTCCTATTGTCCTGGAACGTTACTCTACTCTTCAGACTATCATACTGTGTAATAAGTTTTGAATGGTTTAGCTTATGGAGTTATCAGGAACAAGTGGCAAGTCACTAGTCAAACTGCGACAATTTCGATGACGCGGAGGAAGTATTTCTATCGTTATTAAATGTTATCAAATATACCACTCTTTGGTCTAGAAAGAATACTTTTTTGGTATTACAAGTTATGATCCCAACCGCTTGCATACGTACCGTATTTTCCCGAATATTAGTTGACCTTCTGTGCGCCAGAAATTTCGCCAAAAAAAGCTGGGGGTCCACTTACAAACGGAACTCCACTTACATACAGGAATGTGGCACAACAAATGAAGTGACTGGAGTGTCCGTACAAAAATGCACTACCGCACGAACCATGTGAACTTTCGTCCCGCGAGTGAACATTGAATGAACATTGGATGACACTGGTTTTGTTCAGATGTTGTCTTACTGGCATTATGATCTCTCCTCGCAGAGAATTCATCATTTTGTATGTGTGGGTGTCATGGAGCTATAAAAACTTTTGTTCATGAAATTGACTCCTGGATTTGGGGTGGTCGACTTATATTTGAAGTCGACTTATATTCGGGAAAATACGGTAGTTCATGCGGCAATTCGCCTGAACCAAGTCGGCCCTGAAACGGTTCAAATGCAACTGTGTTGAGTGCCGGGTGGCTGCTCCAGACGTTGTAGATCGCGCTTCCGGCCGACTGATGCACACTAGAAGCAGTTCACCAAATCTGGGCTCATCGGTTTTTCACAGTCTCTCTTCCTATTCTTATTCAAGATCGCGATATCGTAGACGGATAACAGGTCAGAGATATTATAGCCGTCGTTTTAACTTTTAAGCCGAAGATGAAGTGATTACGGCAAAATCTAATCAAGATATATGCAAAAAGTATTGTTTCACACACACACACACACACACACACACATGTATCAGGGGCCCCGTTTGGCGAATAGGCTATAGGCTGACTCACGACTGCCGTCTCGACGCTTGGAGCACCAATCCAAAAATTGCTTCCGCGGGTCCTGTGTAGAGAGCATGTCTAAGAAAACCAGAAAAAAAAGATAAGTTGGGCCATCTTTCCGATTCAGTTCAAGTTTTGAACATAGATTCCCTTTGGGGCCTACAACAACCATGCAGAAGTGTCCATTCTAGTACATATGTTGTACTAGAATTGGTTTTACCTGCCAAAATGGAGCAACTTGCCCCACAAAAAAGGCGACGGCCATCTTCGATGCGTACCTCCCATTCCGATCTACGAAAGATCGCTCTCCATGACATTCTACTTAGCATGCTAGTACTTAAGAGTAGAGCCCACACGCTCTCTTCGATAAACACTGCAATAATTCAAGTTGACTCATTTCACAGTATCACAATGTTTCGGCAAATTGCCTTCATCAGGTTCACAGTTTTACTTATGCTAGTACTTGCTTGCCAGTCCACCAGGGGTCTCCGACAGCATAGGACATTATACAGTCGGCCTGGCGAAGAACGACCCTCCAGCGTGCACGAGAAAAGCGCCGTCAGTCGCGAGCTGCCGTCGTTCGGGACGTTGAACGCAAGCAGTCAAATGGTCTCTAGGCCTGAAGATTGTGCCGTTACTCACGAGTTGTTGGTCTGCGCCCTGGAGATGTGTTAGAGCTAGGTCTTAGGTCGCTGAATGTCTCAGTAGCCTGTCAGTTTCGTGCCGTGTTGTCGCACATACTGACCGCTTATTATCTTGTTACATTCGTGGATAGTTGCTTCATAACTCATTTCCATGTGTTTTCTTCTTCTATTTTACTCACGAGTTGCTCTTATATGGGAGGTTTATTGTCACGAGTTTAACTCGTATATAAATACTCTATACTGATATACAGTCAGAACTCGCATAGCCACACACACATCTGTTTTCCGTAAAAAAAAAATCCGGATAGGCGAGGGAACCGGATAATCAAACATGCATACTGTATGTATGCGTGGCATATGCTGTAAATCGGTAACCAACGATTTTCTTCCGGATGTCGAGGGATCCGGATAAAAGAGGGCTGACTGTACTCACCGTGGACATGTTTATCGTATTTTCAGGAGTAAACGCCGCACTGGAGTCCAGATTGTTTGTCAGGAAATACACACAGACTACCATGTCTGTCACCGTTAATTTCACCATTGCAGTATAAGCCGTACGGACTTTTTTTGTGTGGGCGAGTTGCCGGTGTTTAAACTTCGGCGTATACTCCGGAAAATACGGTACCTGATGGCCTATGGCATGCTTTTGCTGCTCTCTGTGCTTTTCAGCCAACGTGGATCTGTGCGTGAAGAAATTCGGCTTTATCAATGGCAGGATAGCGTCACACAACCTCTCTGGTACAGTTCAATGCGACATCGGATCTCAGCTAGCCGGTGCTAGCACAGTCGCCTGTGAACTCTGGCCGCTGAACGAGCCGAAGTGGCGCTCGACTCCAGCCTGCACCAGTAAGAGAGAGAGAGAGAGAGAGAGAGAGAGAGAGAGTGTGTGTGTGTGTGTGTGTGTGTGTGTGTGTGTGTTCGTGTGTGTGTGTGTGTGTGTGTGTGTGCATGTGTGGGCGCGCGTGTGTGTGCGTTAGTGTGTGTGTGTGTGTGTGTGTGTGTGTGTGTGTGCGCGTGCGTGCGTGCGTCCGTTAGTGTGTTCGGAGTCAGTCTTGCAGTTTCCAGCCCCATACAGTCTCCACACTCGGGCAATCGCAGACACATATCTACTTTGGAATGCCTCTATTTACAAGTAGACTGCCGGAAAACAGCTGGACAGGACGGACTCAAGACGAAGACTGCTTTCCTCGCAACACCCAACACCACGTACAATCACCAACACCACATACACATGACAAGACGCGCACAAAACAACGTACTACAACAGAATGGCCTCAGCATGTTCAACTTGGATGCACTTCACCTTCATCCTTGTAGCAGGTAATCCCAGGCCCAATTTCTACCCGTATATATGAAAGATGTACAACTAAAAGGCGAAAGGCGAATACATACCTGGGTGCAAATAAAGGGTGAAAAATCCAGATTTTGTCCATACAGGCACTCTTCAAATCTACGTTTTATCTGTATTTGTACTTGTGACATATCAAAATCCAGGTTTTGTCCATACAGGCACTCTTTAACCTTTTCCACCCCGGCCTGAAACCCATGAATTCCCAGTCCGCTCGCTGCGCCTCTCTCTCTGTCGCCCGGCAGAGCAGACCTGTGATTCGAAAAAATTCTAACTTCACTCACCAGGAACGGAAGTTGATCATCTTGGGCTCTTTGGAAAGCTTGAAGCCTTCTCTGTCCAAACAAAAAGAATAATCACTCAGCAGGAGCAATAGAGTTGCCTTCACACTCCGTTGAGAGCTCCTCTATCGGGCCTCGAAGAGATATTCCACACCCAGTCACAAATTTCTTCGCTTCTACAGTTTTACTCAGCGCAGAGCAAAAATTCAAACTCTCTTAGATTCCTGAAGTTCAATCGCTCATTTTGGTACCCAACACGCATGGGCTGTGCCCCTGTGAGTCATAGGGAAAGTCCCTTCCCTGCCGATGTCCACTCGAAAATCCAAGGTGCGAAATTTTGTGCCCTGTATTTCGGCCCGTGAATTGCGTTTCCACCTTCGGCGCTCCGGTATTTTACTTTTCGCCCCAGCAAACGACATACCATTGGAAAGCTTATTCATTCAGCTTTCCAACGAGCCGTCAGGTGTGAGAATCGAAGAAAGTATAACAGAGTTACGAATGTTTGAATAGCGAGGTATACGCAATCTGAGTTCACTGTACATACAGTACATTTTCTACCCGAGTATACTCGGGCTTGGGAAAGCAGGGCATGCTACAGAACGAGTATACTCGGGCGCGGGGTGCAAAAGGTTAAATCTACGTTTTATCTGTATTTGTACTTGTGACATATCAAAATCCAGATTTTGTCCATACAGGCACTCTTTAAATCCACGTTTTATCTGTAGTTGTACTTGTGACATATCAAAATCCATGTTTTGTCCGCAACTGCACTCCTGATGTTGTCTTAAATCCATGTTTTGTCCGTAATTGCACTCGTGGCGTCTTAAAAATCCATGTTTTGTGTCCGCAAAACAGGCAGGCATAGTGAGATGGTCTAAGACCATGATTGAGAAACAGACGATACCAGGTTCAAGTCCTGCTTGGAAGCGGAAGGATTTTTTCCAGCCGTGCTGCTACCCACAGTTAGTTGGGAACTCGTGGCCTGGCTCGAGGGAAGCATGGATGCAGCGAATGGGATTTTCGGTCTTTGATCACTTTGGTGGTGGGTCTGATCTACTCACCTCCCACCGCTTTAGGAGCTGCATCTGCGCCTTGATCTTTGAGGGTGGTGGCGTCCCAGCGGATGCGGAAAATTCTATCTCCAGCCGAGTCTGACGCGAACCGCGAATCTTTCTTTCTTTTTCTTTTTTGTGTCCGCACATGCACTTGTACCGTTGTCTTAAAATCCATGTTTGGTCCCTACATGCACCCATGACGTCTTAAAATCCATGTTTTTGTCTGACCTGTACTAATGACGTTGTCTTAAAGTCCATGTTTCGTCTGTACTCTTGCCCGTGTCGCATTGTCCTAAAATCCATGTTGTCGCGACGTTGCCTTGCATGCATTCAACTTGCTCTGGTCCGTCGATGCTCTGCGTTGCACCATGCAGAGATACCCACCTACTGTCCATCGCTGGTGCTGCCCCGCACAAAGCACACGACGTTCCACACCAGCAGCGGCGCTTATCGAGCGCTCGGCGTCACCGCCAGCATAGTCTGCCTTGACGGGCACACGACGGCTCGGAAGGCGGCCGACGGGACGTCGAACTCCTTCGTCTCGACGTGCTCCACTCACAACCGGACACACGGATACTGGGACAACCTAAGCGATTGTAAACGTAAGTGGAGAAGCAATACATAAGAAGTGGAATAACTTTTTTTTTCTGTGATGGCGTGAACACACATTACCGGTTGCGATTTCTATTTTCAAAGAAACTCCGTACTTCCCTACGTATAAGCGCATGGGCTTATAAGTGAAAATTTGCTACAAAAAATGTTTTTGCAGTGTGAACATGTTCGGGTAGAAGCCCATGCGCTTATATGTGCAACAAAGGTTTGTGTGTGTTCTAAACAACGGTGTTATCACAATTCTTGGCAGTATATTCAGCTCCCGGGTGTTTCACCAATAGTGTTCACATGTAAGCGCATGCGCTTATAATTGGGGGGGGGGGGGTGCGCTTATGTCCGGACATAAGCACATGCGCTTATATGTGCGGAAGTACAGTAGCTATGGTGATGTTGTGTGTTGGATATACGGTACATGTACGTTGCTCATTCACTTCTCGTACATTTTTTCATTCACGTCTTGAATTCTTTATTCTCACGATGGCACCATCGCCAATACGAGATGAGTTATTTGTTGTCTGTGTTGTTTGTGTCATGCTTCGTATCAACTAAGCGATTACTTGCCCGGTGATTAAGGTTGCGAATGGACAGTTTAGTCGTACCCATCCTGGCAGTCCCGGCGACTCTGGAACTGTAACTTGCTCAGCTGGCCATCGCCATAGCACTGGAACTGCCACGTGCAAGTCAGATGGCTCCGTGATCGGCAAGTGGACCCCTACGCCAGCGTGCCTTTGTAAGCTTCTGTAATTGTGTGCACGTGTACGTGTGTGTGTACATGTGTGTATGCGTGTGTGTATGCGTGTGTGTACATGTATGTATGTACGTGCCTGTGTACATGTGTGTGTGCCCGTGTCTGTGTGCATGTGTGCGTGTGTGTGTCCGTGTCTGCGTGCATGTGGGTGTCTATGTGTACGTGTATTATTGTCTGTATGTCTGTCCGTCCGTCCATCCGTCCGTCTGTCCATCTGTACGTCCATCCGTCTGCCTGTGTTTGTCTACGCATGCTTGTGTGTGTGCTGCATAGCTGGACAAGCGTTTGTATTTCTAGAGTCCTTTGATGTGACCGATTCAACAAAAACGCCTCCTGACGACCAGATTCGGTGTGCCGCATTTTTCGGAGTATAAGTCGCAACCCCATTATCTTGCCACCGAATACAGACATCTACCCTAGTTATGACCGTTAATTTGATCATCGGAGTACAGGCCACAACCCCCTTTTTGGGAGGGAGGAGGGAGGGAGGGAGGGAGAATAGGAGAGAGAGAGACAAACAGACAGAGACAGAGCCAGAGACAGGGAGAGAGAGAGAGAGAGAGAGAGAGAGAGAGAGAGAGAGAGAGAGAGAGAGAGAGAGAGAGAGAGAGAGAGAGAGAGAGCAGGAGAGAGCAGGAGAGAGCAGGAGAGAGCAGGAGAGAGCAGGAGAGAGAGCAGGAGAGAGCAGGAGAGAGCAGTGTTGTCCGTGACCTCGTGGAGGTCCTCCTGTGACCTTACCCTTTTGGGTACATTTGTTCTGTGTGGCGCTGTGTCCACGCGGACTGCGTGCAGACCACACGTACACTGCGCAGGTTGCGCCGCAGCGCGCATGCACGCATTCGTATAATTATTGTACGCATTCCTTTCTTCTTCGCTGCCTTCTTCTTGAGGCTCTCGTTGAGCAACAACCAATTATCAGTCCTCTGTGTGTGGTGTGTCGAGAGAGTAAGCGGAAGGGGATATCGTTGGACCTAAAAAACGACAACAGTAGCAGCGAGAGCCGCAGAGGGCCAGACGAAGCCCAGATGAGTCATCGCATGACTGGTCGACCACCCGGATCGCCTCGGCATCGTTTGCTTCTGGCTCTTGTACTGCTCCGCGCGAAAAGCAGATGCTGATTGCATCCAAGGGGTTTTCCCTCTCACGGGCTACAGTCTACATGTATGGAAGAAAAGTGGGGATTGAGCTTTTGTCCGTGATGTCATTTTGAGCTGTAACTGCACAAGTAAAGCTTCTGTTGACTACCATTATACCGATGATCCGTTGCAGTTCCGCATGTTTTGTTTTTTGGTCTACTACGTGCTGTGTGCACTTGCAACAGATCTACAAGTTTGAAGAAACACTGAAAAAAGCGTCCTAGAAAGGAGAACTTCGATTTCAAAAGTTTCATCTCAATCCCTGGACTTTCGTAGGACAGCCCTGGACCCCGGGACAAACACCCTATTCCCTGTACTGTCCCGGGAAACCCTGGACGGTTGGCATGTATGTATGAATGTCCATTATGTCATTTTGTTATGCCTAAGTGCCATTTTGTAATGCTCGTGATGTCATTTTGTTATTTCTCTCGCTCTCTCTCTCTCTCTCTCTCTCTCTCTCTCTCTCTCTCTCTCTCTCTCTCTCTCTCTCTCTCTCTCTCTCTCTCTTCCGCTGCCGCCCTTTTCCAGCCATTCAACATTTTTGCCCACTGTTGCCAGCTACCAATGGCATAATCCGTTACTCTGGAGACCGTCGCTATGACACTCTTGCCGAGTTGGAATGCTTCCTTGGCTACGCACCAATAGGTGGTGCTTCTAAAACGCCATGTGTGGCAAAAGCGTCTGGAATTAGTGGATACTGGCGGGGAGTGCTGAAGTGTAATGGTAAGTGGCCAAAGAGAAAATGTGTTGCCTGAAAAAAGGAGAGACAGACAGACACACAAACACACACACACACACACACACACACACACACACACACACACACACACACACACACACACACACACACACACACACACAGACAGACTGACAGAGACAGACAGACAGACAGACAGACAGACAGACAGACACACAGACACACAGACAAACAGACAGACACACAGACACACACACACACACACACACACACACACACACACACACACACACACACACATACAAACGGACAGACACACAGACACACAGACAGACAGACAGACACACAGACGGACAGAGGGAGATAGGGGTTGGGTTGCTGTGCAGTTGAAGCCACGTTCCGTTACAGGATTTGGTTGAGAGGGGTTGCAGGCGGGGCACTTTCTACACATATTTAATCACATGACGAAGATGTGAAACCAGTGGAAACCACTCCACTGTAGTGACACTCTCCTTTGTTGCTTCACATTATCATATTCATCAATTAGTAGGAGCCGTGGTTGACTCTGGCCATCCCGGCAAGAAGGCAGATATGCCTGTTCGATTGGTGAATTAAAATAAAATACCACACCATACCGTACGCTGCCGCGACGAAATCGTGTGGCTTGCCTCTGTGATAAGCGTGTTGATGTGCTGCTCTGCTTGCGTTGCCCCCAGCCATTCCCTTCTACTGCCAGCAAGTGGGCGTCGCTAACGGACATATTTCGTACAGTTCGAACCTCATGGTCACTGGCACGGCAACCGTATCCTGTCACCATGGCTACCGGCCACAGGCGGGCGGCGCGGTTTCGACTTGCATTGGCCGGGTCCCCGATCAAGGCAGCTGGAGCCCGAAACCGGCATGTGAACGTGAGTACTGAGCAGCACAACCACTGGCCTGCAATTAACACAGACACAAATCTTTTTTGAAGAAGGGCTGAGGCTTCCTGCAGCTTCATCTGTGTCCACCCGAATTCTTTTCACAAAACTTTTTCTTTCTTTTTCCTTCTCCCTCTTTTCTTTATAATATATTTACGTTCCTCTGCCGGGGTTGATTCTCACCTCCCCCCCCCCCCCATCCCCTTTGATTGGCAACTACATGCTGTGAGATGTAGAATAAACGAATAATATATAGATAATTAAACCCCACCTTGAACTCACCCAACAACAACAACAGCCCATGGAATCAATTGCAAGCACACTGTCACTTTCCTTCCGCACGAGCACCGGAGAGGTTACGGTTTTACAGATGGCTCCACTCTGGTCGATTTGCCGCGGCCAATCTTGATTTAGCCTGCCATGGCTGGCTATCACCTACATTACCAGTCAGTTGCTACTGCCACGGTGATTGTGAAATAAAGTGGTTTCACATCTATCACAAGACCATACAGGGCAGCCATGTTGGTTCCAACTCCACTCAACCCCTGCATCTATAGGTCACATGATGTCGGCCATGTTGGCTCCACTGTCCACGTCACATGATCGTTTTCTACACGAATGTATTCACATGATTGAGACGTGAAATCACTCTATAAATAGAATAACGAATAAAATAAAATGAATGCGTCGCCGTGTTCTGTCTGTTCTCAACCTGTAGCTTTCACCAACTACTGCCCGGAGGTGTCAGTTGCCAACGGGTACTTGAACTTCACCAAAAGCCGGGCCATCGGCGCGAAAGCAATGCTAACTTGTCGGCATGGTTACAAGCCCACGGTCGGCAATGATGTCTTGACGTGCGGCGGCCAGAGTTCAACTCACGGCGTCTGGGATAATTCACCAGCGTGTGAACGTGAGTAGTCGTGGGACTAGATACTGCCGCCCGGGTCGGTATAATGCTGTAGAAGACGCAACCATGGATACTAGCCCTGCATTCTGAGTATGTGTGTGTGGGGGGGGGGGGGCGATAAACTCAAAAATGCAGTCAAAATGTAGTCAAAATGACCCCTAAAAAAGTTGTACCACCCCAGCCACTTAAAAGACTGCGCTCTCTCAGTGGTGCCCGAGTACTATGTTAACTTTGTGAAGAGTGACGCTTTCATGCTAACGCATTGCTCTGCCCTGTGTATTGTGTTGTGTCAAATCTGCACTGTCTCAGTGGTGTCCGACTACAAATTTTGACTGCACTTTTGAGTTTATCGATGAAATCTTTCATTTTCGAGTTTAAACTCAAAAATGCAGTGAAAATGACCCCTAAAAGGTTGTGCTCTGTGTTTTTTGTGTTGTGTCAAATCTGCACTGTCTCTCAGTGGTGACCGACTACTGTGTCAACACTGTCGCCGTGGAGTACGGCAAGTTGCTGTACCCGACGGTGCGCACGCTCAACTCCATTGCCACGCTCGAGTGCGACTCTGGCAACGTGCGGAACGGCACTCAACTCTCGTGCGTGCCCTCGAGCAGCGAATCGGGCGTGTGGAACGGAACTGCCAAATGCACCAGTAAGTGAATCCAAAGTGGAGAGGTTAAGATGAACGTTATTTTTGACGCGACGCGAAAGTTCAGCTCGCGTTATTTGGCTCGCGCTTTGGAAAACAACGCGAGCGACCTGCAGCTCACGTTGAAATTTGGAGTTTACGCCAAATTTGACGTGAAACTGCATGTCACGTCAGAAATAACGTGTATCTTTAAAGCCTCTCTAGTCTGTTTATGGTGAAAAAAAGAGAAGGACAAAATTTTACGAGTTATGACTAAATGTCCACCAACGTAACCAGATCTTATACAGTCAGCGAGTGCGACAAAATGTAACATGTTGTCCTTCTCCTTTTTCACCATAACTTAAATGGCTCATCGTCCGAGTTGAATTTAGTCTACTTTAGTTCACAATAGACCATAAAGCATCATAGCAAGAGTACATAACCCCCAAGAGTGTGCAACTGCCTGCACAACCTCTATGGTGTGCTGCGACGGCAGAACTTCACATCACGTGATATGGTTCAAAAGGTTACACTGGCAAACAGTGCAAAGTGACCACAAGAGAGTTGTACCCAAAGCTGGGCTGCGTACAACCCTGTATCAATCATGCACAGAGTGCAAATAATGTGTACGGGGTTCATCACGTGATGTGAAGTTCTGCCGTCGCAGACCCCATAGCTGGAATTGCACACTCTTGGGGGTTATGTACTCTTGATTATAGCGAGGCATGTGCAACCTCTAATAGTGAATGAATGCTTACCGAGTGCTTTTAAGGTCCGGCGTCTTTCCAGTGCTCAGGTAGAATAAGGACACTTTTCTGGTGCCGCTGTACTTCAAGATCAGCGCTGCAACTCACCATGGTGATAATGCGGCTGACGTCATGTTACCAAGGAAAACATGGCGTTTGGCCGTGTTTGCCGCACTCGAGCGCTCAGCTTTTTTTTGCAGAATCTTGTTTTGAAAAATACTTCCAGTCTTTTGGCAGCACTTGGATTGGAGGCCAGTCACATCGCGATCTGTACGAATATCATTATCACGGCCATTGTCTTGTGTCGTTTTGAGCTAGAATAGCTTCTCTGAAGAAGGATTCAAATATGATGACGTTCTCTTTTATCGTCGGCATGAAGCTCCCCACTCGCAGCGGGGATGACAATGGACGGAATAAATGTGTTGAGTCTCGAGCAGGAGTTCTGCTGACAAAAGTGATGAGGTCCGCGCGACCTGGGGCATGTGAGGACTCCAGCGTCAGGCGAAATTACTGGTCAGTCGGCGACACGCATTTTTCACAAAAAATTGCGTTTCACCTGCTGGGAGAGTATGCGTGTACTCGAGTCTCATCCTGAGCATGTTTTTTTCTTCTTTTTTTCAGCTCCAGGTAGCTGTATTTTTCATTGCAAAGCCGTCCGCGATTGTTGTGTTCGTTGTTCGAACGAAGTGGACATTCAATCATGAAGGCAGAGGACATAGGAGCCTGATTGGAGTTTCTCGTGGCATAGGACGGCCACACAGAGACACTTTGGGATTTTCTGAATATAAAATACCGTACGCACGATGCTGAGATCAATTTGTGCGATATCACATTGTTTGTGATCTACCACATCGAGCAGAACGGGATCCAAACACAAGCTTACCGACGGTTAGGCTGCCGACCTGACTGGACAAATGATCGCTTCACCAGACGCCAGAAGTCGGACACCATGTCCTTTGCCGCGACGTCCATCTCCAAAAAGAACTCCATCTTCGTCATGAAAAGGCTTGAAATACTCAATATTCAACCGAGATTCGCGGTCTCACCCTTTCTCAGATCGAATCATTTTTTGTTGTAGCAGTTGCAGGGCAGATCCCCGCCACTACTTCAACAGAAGATGGCTCCAAAGCATGCCTGGAACAAGCCATATCGAGGTTGCAAGCCACCCCTCTCAGCACTTTTTTTGAAGAAATTCGAAATTTCAATGGTGGAAGATATACTATGAAGAGAATTTCAAAAAGTATGTTTCGCGGAGCGATCGCTCAACCTACGTCATTCAAACTTTGCAGGATGGTTCAGACGTACATGCTAGGCATGGAACCACAGAAGATGATATCATAGCTGACACACAGAGTCACACACACAGCAGATTCGTGTGCACAGATACTAAATTAGTGGACGTCGTCATCTTCTTCCCGCTGATCTCAAATGTACTATGACGTGCTATTTCGCCTGACGAGTTCTAGTTGGGCAATACCCCACGGACACATCTCGCTCGAAGCGCAGAGTCGGTTGAGAAAAATGACCAAGATCATAAAGAAGGCTTGTTTGCTTCCACAACATGTTTTAGTAGCCGAGTACATGCACTGAAAACTGCATTTGCCTTGTTTCTGTACGTACAGTACAGAGTGCACTTGCAAGTCGCAACGAGACGAGCACAGTCGCGCACACAGACTCAGGTGTGTCCAGCGATCGTGCGTGGGAGTCAAGTGCCCTACACTCGAGTGCATGCTGGGCTCGCGTGCATGCACGGTAGATCTACAGCTAGTGTGATGCACTACACCACACGTACAGTGCAGCATGCATTCAAGTAGTTTCACAGTCGTTTTAAAAAAAATTGATTGTGTGTAAGAGACAATGTGGGCTATTTTGAAACAGCAATGACAGCTTCCTCCATAAACGCGGAGCGTGGGGAATGTCTTTGGCGAATGAGGGCTGTTGCATTGGCTAGCTGTACATCCCAGCAAGCGGGAATGTGCTGGATATCGATACTAAACGCCCGTTCATTCGCGGTGGTGAGTCTGAGCAGACCCCGAGGTACGACAGCTTTGTATACTAAATGTGTACAGTGCGTATGGTGGAACAAGTCGACACTGGTTTCCAGCGAAATGTTGTTATCTATGTACAATATCCACCAATATCCTTTATCGAGGGCCCCAGGGCTATCCAATTCACCCGGATTCGTGGCCTTACTATTTTTCGTTTTCTCCACGTTTTGGGTTGAAATCTGAACATAAAAAGTAGCACTGATGACGTCATTCTGCTCATAATTGACATTTTATATCGGAAATCGATGACAACTAACCCAATGTATCGACACAGAAAATTTGGTTGAAAAATATTGATATAATGCCAAAGTTATTACCAATACAATTTTTGTACACACATGATCACCTTATTATACCTGAGTATTCTTTCAGCGGATCTTTTCGAAACGTAGCATGGTGTAAACGTCACATTGCTTATGATCAGTTCTGTCTCTCTGTAAAACCGTCTGCTTGCATCAAACCTGTGCGTTGCCCATTTGGCGTGATCAGGTAGCGGCTTGCCATCGATCCCTATGGGTAAGGCCAAGAGAATATAACCCGCCAAGAGTGTGCAACTCTGCATATGGGGTCTCTGACGGCGAAAACTCACATCACGTGTCTCAGATACCTTTGTATTACTTACAAACGAAGGATAGCGTGCGCACAATCCGAATATCTGCCACGATCATGCTGGAGATTTGCATACCCACAGTGAGTTTCTGTCAGAGAGTGCTTTTTTATTACTCTGCTGCTCGCTAAAAACGGGCTGGAAACGTCAACTGCGACACAGCACCACGTGATGTGAGTTTTCGCCGTCGGCGTACCCCATAGAAAGGGTATCAGGAGTTGCACACTCTTGGGGGGGTTATATACTCTTGGTAACATTCTAATAAGCCCACTGCGCATTGCCAAATATGGAAGGTATGAGTAATACATGTGAGTACGCTGGGATGAGGGATGCACTGTCCAACACCCCGCACAACCATGCCCAGGTGGCTGTGTGGGGTGTTGGTAGTACAAAACAGGTCTTCGCGCAATGGGCGCATCACTGTCCTGTTGCGCTCGTACGTAACTTTCCGTTGTGTCTCTGTTTTCGCCTATCTTGTTGCTCAGGAGATGACGATACAGCCGGAGCTGGGGGCAGTGGTGTGAACGTGTCGCTGGTCATCGGTCCCGCCGCCGGCAGTCTGCTGCTGCTCGTCGGAATCGCCGTGCTGGCCGTCTGGAGGTGGCGGCGCGGCGCGTCCAAGAGGCCGCCGCCGGTCGGGGGCAGCATGCGTCAGCGGCCAGGCAGCATGCGCGACCTGCCCAGGGACATGGGACCCCGGTACAGCACCAGCCTGGTCCTGCAGCCGGGCGGCGGGAAGTCGTGCCACGGTGCCTCGACGCTGGTCAGCCCCGGCGAGCCCGGCCTCAACCAGTACTGGCCAGAGAAGCCGGGCGGAGACAGCGACCTGTACGCCGATCTCAGCCTGTACGAAGACCTCAAGGCGCCGCAGCTGAAGGCCGTGGCCGGACACACACACAGCTCCATGACGATGCTCACCGACGACTCCAACTGCGCGTCGATGTCGCGCTGCAGCAGCATGCGCCAGTCGCCGGCGAAGCCGAGCCGCTACGCCACCACCTCGCCCAGCCCCAGGCGCTCCCAGTCCGAAGCACCCGCCGACCTCGCACCCGGTGCGCTGCCCATTGGTGCTGGGCACGTGCCCAACCTTCAGGAGCCATCTCAAGTGTTGACGGCGCCCACTTTCGATGGCGACCATGTGTCGCGCTCCCGGTCGGCCTCGCAGACCTCCCGTACGCAGCTCTGCACCTCGTCCTCGCTCAACACGCTTATGAACAGCTACGATCAGGTGGCCATGCAGCAGATGCCCGGCGGCTTAGACCTCGGCGACAGCGGCGGGCAGATGGACGCTCTGCCCAGCCCGGACGCATGCAGACTCAACAACGAGGACGCCTACAGCTCGTACGGTTCCCTGCGTGAATCCCTGGCCATGTCTATGATGTCCGTCAACGAGCTGGAGGACGAGCTCAACGAACCCCTGTACAACCAGCACTATGGCAGCTGTCCGCAGCCGGATGCTTCGCTCGGCGCCACCAATCAGCACCCTCGGCCTGGCGCTCTGCTGCCGGGCAACCGTCAAAGCCTGTCGCGGTCGGTTTCCGGTTTCGGCGACGGCGGCGCAGGCAACTCGGACTACCCGCTGAGGGAAACAGGTGCCGGTGGTGGCCTGCAGAGAGCAGCGTCCAGCGCGGGTCGACGCAACCTGCCCAGCAAGCCACCGGCCAACTATAGTACCGCCGGCTTTGCTGGTGGTCAGCAGCAGCATCCGCCGGCCCCACCGCCGGGTGGACCAACGCGTCGCGTTGCCTCCAGCATGAGAAGACCTGGTCCAGAGCGGGGCAGCGGTCAACTCGGCCGTGCAGCCTCGGTCCGGCTGCCACCCTCCTCCGCAGGTGGTGGTGGCTTCCCTGGACCGCAGCACCAGCAACAGCAGCAGCATCAGCAGGGTGTACGTATCAAGCCGCCGTCGTCCGTGCGACCGGAGTCCCTGCAGCCGGTTCATGTTGTTAGCAGTCCTGGCGTACAGTGGGGTGAGGGTGCACACGGCCAACCGGGGGGTCAGGAGTACGACGCCCCTGATAATAATGACACTTACACGTTCATGGCGTCAAGCTTTGATATCTTGCCAGACAGCACCGCCACCACTCCTATGGTTGGCGATGGCCCGTACGCCCCGCTGGGCATGTAGTGCGTAGTTCACCCGGGCACAGTCGCCAGCGTGAGCATCCCGATTCTGGGGAACCACACTGTCCGCACATAGACACTTGCGGCGGTCGGCACGCACCGCACGCTCTGTGCTCTGACTGCAAGGCCTGCGCCACACACGCCGCTTGCCACGTGCACAAACGAGTATTACAGAACACCCATCGGCTCGGCGGTCAGAACGATAACCAGGGCAAGATGAAAATGGAGCGTTAGTCCCAAAATATCTCCTCCGTTTCTTTTTCTAAGCGCCTAATCTATTCCTTTCTTTCTTATTTCTTTTCTCATCTCTTCCCAAAACTAACCCAAACAACTACAGTCACATGTTGCATATTTTAGAACTGCCTGCACGATGTATTGTTCCCCTCCTTTTAGCTCTTTACCAGTATCCGTTCTCGCAGGAGTCTTTGATCAACTACCCACCGTCAGAGTCCAACTATGCGAGCGCGCGTTGCATTGCCCCGACGACCTTCATGCATTCCGCACTTTTCTCGTGGGATTTTCTTGATTTATCGGTGTAGGGGCATGCATGCCTGACACGCGCTATCATTCGTGACATGCTCGCGACGCACACGATGCAAACACCATCAGTGGATGGAAACAAGGATGCACTGGACGCATACCTGTGTATGGGGAGAATGCTTCGCTCCGAGGCCGCCATTGGAGGCATGGTTCAGAGCGGAAGATATTCTTTCTCCTCTCTTGCGTCTTCTGCATGCATTTTGTCTATTTTTTGCTTGAACGATCCTGCTCCTGTCCATGTCTGCAATGTCACCTGCATGCCCTCTGCACCCCCCCCCCCCCCCCCCCCCCCTTTCCCCAGCCGCTATATTTGTGCGGAAGTGCCCATCTTGCATTTACATTTCCACAGATTTGCCACCGAGCGGAGGAACTGAAGATACTATCTGCATGCATGCCATCCTGTTGCCCACGGTGACATACTGTATCTGAAGGGGTGCACACAATCCAGCCCTTCTCCGCCTCCGGAGCTCCGTTGATGTGACGTGCCTATACTCGGGCCATTATCAACACCACTGCTACCCATCATCATTGCTTTTTTTTGCCACGCTGAACATATCTTTGACGGAACGAACATACTGTATCTTTTTTTTTTGCATCTACGAATGCTTTGCGATAAAATAGGATTTATCACGTACTCGTGTTTTCGCACCTTGACTTGAGAGTGAACATATTTTTGCCGGAATGAACATTATCTATTTTGTTTACGAATCCTTTGGGATAAAATAGGATTTATCACACTCGTGTTTCCGCGCCTTGACTTGAGAGTGAACATATTTTTGCCGGAATGAACAGTATCTATTTTGTTTACGAATCCTTTGGGATAAAATAGGATTTATCACACTCGTGTTTCCGCGCGCCTTGACTTGAGAGTGAACATATTTTTGCCGGAATGAACGTCATCATATTTTTTCTTCAAACGCTCTGGGATAAAACATAGGATTTATCACGTACTCGTGTTTTTCACGCTTTTATGTGGGGTTGATGACGTAACACTATTGTGCTGGCGTCCAATTATGTGAGTCCTCGGCACTGGGGAGCTAATACATGTACATGTACTGTGTAGCGACTTCAGCAGCGGTCCCGGAAATATGTTGTCCCATAAGACAGGAGTTAACAACTTTCACACCAAGGTTCAACTCGAGTGACATGACAGGACTGCACCCAAAAAAGGTCAAACAGGCTAGTAAGTTGTACCCTGCAGGCACGGTGACTGGTGTAAGCAGGAGCACGTGACCGCTTGTTCAACCATGTTCGATTGGGAATAAAGGAGGAACGCTGCATCGCAGCCTTTTCGGACCAAAACCAGTCGACTCAGCGTCCAAAAGACTACAACATATGGGCCAATCGCGGTCATCCGTGCTTTTATAAGAACGAAATGGCGCTTTTAGTGACATTTTGCATACAAATCCCCATCTAGTAGGGCGCAGTCACCCAGTTTCGGTGGAAGTGCGCGAGTTCGATTGGGATTCAAGTAGGAAGGGAGCGTCTCAGCTTTCTCGGACCAAGTCCATTCGACTCAGCACCCCGAAGACTACAACTGGTGAAATTTTTATTTTTGCCTTTTAACTTCCCCTTTTTTTAAAGTAACGTTACAAAAAAGTTTTTAGTTGACATGTCGCATGATGTCGGGGACCATGGTTGGGGCCCCGGAGAGGGGGGGGGGGAGGAGGGGCATGTCCATCTACCGATGGAGATGAAGCTAGGGCGTCGCGTTGCAAGCATGCAAAGTCTAAGAACTAACACACTGTGGGGTTGTGGAGAGTGGCATAGAGATCATCGTAGATGTCGGACGAGAGGTTCTGTTTCGATGGATCGAAATAATCAGCTCCTGCACAAGTGGGTCCACCGTTTCGATAATGAACAACAGCGGCCAAAGGTCTGCTCGCTCCCTCCATTCACGTTACCCTCGCGACGAAGAAATATTTCAGGCTGTGGGTGACGTGATTAAGCCTAGTAGTAATGGTAGTAGTAATAGTCTACTCGTGGTACTGGCTGTGCCTTACTTTTAGCGCCATGCAGGGCGAAAGTGACGATGAGTCAGTTCGTGGCCGGCCCCGTCTGATGCCTGTGATGGCACCATGACCATTGGCATTGGTACCACTGCACTGGTCGGTTCCTACCCTGGTCAGGTTTGAAAGATTTCGCAGTGTTCTTTTCTGGGCCTTGAATTTTGTTAGCTAGCGCAAGTGGACGAGTTTGAGAGTGTACAGGCCTGCATGGTTCAGGAAAGGAGCGGTCCACTTCAGTTCTTGGAATGTCTGTTCCCTGGTGAACCAATCGCCTTGGGTCGTCCGTTGAGACTGCGGAACATTCAGTTGTCGGAAGAGCTCGGAAATTTGATATTGTTTATGTTCTCCGCTGGAAGCGCTCAATATCGAAACGACTGGGCTTCGCCTCCGTGAGACAAGTCACAAGGCGGTTTGGCCGAGACTCGTCATGACTCCCTTTATCGTGGAGCTATTATTCTTTCACCTCTGTGCGTCCTCTTCCTTCGGAGAGCGAGCAAGGGAAGTACTGTACAGTACAGTCATGTAAGTAAGTAATTATTTATTAGTTAGTTAGTTCAAGGGTGTCCAACGTCAACGATGCCATTTTGTGGCCGTATCCAAGGTGACTGTTCCCATAGATGTAGTGAATGCACTCACGTAGCCTCGTACTACGTCGTAGACGTATTTTATTATTTTGTTAGGGAAATCCCTACAGACGTTGCCGTCTTTTTACAGGGAGCCTTTGCAGAGCGAAATGAAAGCGGATGGTTGATCAGCTTGGCGACACAACATAGGCAGAGAATTCCACCGATCAGCGCCAAGGAAAGAAACAGAGAACATGCCATATCTAGTTTTAGCAGCAGGCAAACTGAGATACTAGTAGACGAGAAGGACTGTCCTCTAGTGCGCCTATCTGTACAAGTAGCAGCTGATTGTAGAGTGAACATAGAGGAAAGCAGGGGACTTGTCAGCTTGTTGATACATCGGAACACAAAGACAAAAAGTCGCAAGTTGAGGCGAGACTCCAGCGAGTATAATTTACCATGCTGCAAAAGGAAAGCAGCCAGGTTGGGGTGCGCCTAGAAAGGCCGAAGACCTTCTTCATACCAGTGTGACTTAGTGGAACAAGGCGAGAATACAGATTTGAAGTTTAAAAACAGTGCACATATGAATTACTGGCATACTCAATGGTGGATTGTATTAGTAGGGATATCACCGTATTTTTTTCTTTCGTAGTAAACCAAGGAAACTGTTTGTTTTCGGGAAGAACTACAGTAGAGGAGATAGCACAGAAAATTTGGATGAAAAATATTGAAGGATACCAGAGATGTGAGGCGTCAAAGTCATACGCCAACCTTCATCATGATTAGAAGCGGTGAGGCCTCCTGCAGTTTCATACAGAATTACAGATGGAGCGGACTCGCTCCCTTCTATTTACACTGCAACGTTCGAACACATTTTCGTAGTTAAAACAACGTTTCGGCATATAGCCCTCATCAGGTTTGCAATGATGTGCACTCTGAAAACTGCGAGAAGCTGTTGAAATCCGCAACTTGCGGCCGCAAGTAAACACTAATGCTGGCTGGGCACTACTGTGAATATATCGTATCTGGATATTAATATATCACCAATCCCTTTCGCCACCTTTGTAGCTGACACATTTAGCGCAAACACAGCACGGCACAGTATATTTGCTGCTCCTTTGTAGAGTGCACATCATTGCAAACCTGATGAGGGCTATATGCCGAAACGTTGTTTTAACTACGAAAATGTGTTCGAACGTTGCAGTGTAAATAGAAGGGAGCGAGTCCGCTCCATCGGAATGCCATACTGCAAAAAAACAAAATGCAGCGAAGGTGTCACGAGACTATACCTCCTGCGGAAGCCGAGACCAATGAGAATAGGACACGGCTGTCAAGAAGCGGCAACTTCAGGGCTCACGGTTGGGATGCCAAAACTCGATTACGTGGGAGGACATCTTGAAATCTGATCACCATAGAAATGAGCTCGCGTGACTCGGGCTGTGCACGCCTACGCGGCGCGGAGCACAGCAAGGAGAGAGTTGCAGTGACCTGGTGACTGACAAGAAGCAGTAGAACTGAGGAAGACGGAGACCGGCTGGGGACTTGCGTTTCACTTTGGTTGCCTTTCACCATGTTCACTGTCGTTGTTATTGCTTCTTTCCGAGCGAGTTTGTTGCGAGCAGTGCTGGCCTCGTAAGCCGAAGGCTTCAGACAGTTCGTTCGCACGCTGAGTCCTGCGATGAGAAGTCGCGAGTTCTGCCGCCGAGTTTTTTTAGTGAGAAAGGGATCGACATCTATGTCGTCCGCTGATGCACTGGCGCAGGTGAGGAGAGGTAGAGGAGAGCTCCTTGATGGAATGAAGCAAAGACTCACACCGTGTTCTAGTTCGTTATCTCTGTTCTCAGAGCGTTTTGTAAATGCACTTACACGAGTGAAAGAGCCGTGCCACGCTGCTTTGAGAAGTGACGATGGAGAGTTGTGAATTATTTGATTTGCCACTCTGTTTCGTTGCAAGAGGACGAATCAAAATGGCTTCGCCGTTGTACTGGTCATGTATTTTCGGTTCGCCATAGCTGCTGAAGCACACAGCAGTAGAGCGCCGATGAGCGAGACAGCAAACAGTGAATAATATTTCAAGAGTTAGTCAGTCACGGAGGTAACATTGCAAAAAACGCCTTGCTGCTGCCTCGCTGGTGTAGTTTCCGCATCGTACAACGCATATGCACAGGCTTCCTTCCTTGTCGTCGCGCACGGGAGTTCGCGTGCGCCGCTGCCGACTTAGCTCACTTCAAAACAGTATAAGGTAGCACAATATTGGCCGATTTTGACAATCGATGGCTCAAAATCCTCAGTAGATACTAAGCTACAGTTTAACCGAAGCGATTTTTTTCTAGATGAAGGGATCGCTGTAGAGCATTCACGGACTTTGTGACCATTATCAGTTCTTTAGTTTCCCAGGGCCAAAATCAAAAATTCCTTCGGTTGAACCCCTAGTTCACATCTTGACTGGTTCCACCCAAATTTTCAGTGTCGTACTGTCTACCTGTGCTACCTTATTTAGAAAAGCGATCCTGTCAGCTTTTCTATTATTGTGTTCACATGGCAAGAAAAACGACACCGCTATGCTACGTAAGTTTCTACGTAAGGTGCTCGGTATTTCAGTTAGGCTACGTAAGTCTCTACGTAAGGTGCTCGGTATTAGATCTACCAACGGGTGGTAGCCGCGTGCGGTGCACGTGCACGGCAGACATTGTGTTGCAGTGCAGTCCGTGT